GTTTTAATCTTTCTTGATAAATGGTTTCACTGCAAACACTTTTTAAACTGTAAGAACCTCAGTTCTCAAATATGCAAATTTTATTAACTACTACAAGACTATCTGGAAGAATATTGATGTAAAAGACTACAAAAAATTCAGTTAAAATGAGAAATGGCTATAATTTCTAGGTTTATTTGCTAGCTAATATCAAATTAATTACAAAGGAACTTCAAAAGGTTTGTGGAAAAGTGGGATTAAGGGATAAAAATTTAAAATATCAACTTTATTTCTCAATATATGTTCTACCATGTGTAGGACATTTTTTTAAGTGATGATACCAGTCATTGAGGCCATCCCTAAATAACTGGAGATTCTGGGAGTTTAACCTTTTCAATGCAGGTTTTTTTTTTTTTTTTTTTTAGTTAAGAAGCAAAACGAAGTCAGAGGGAGGCTAATCAGGACTGTAAAGTGGAAGCCTCACAATCTGCCACAGAATTCTCATGAGATTGATGAGAAGAATGAGCAGGAAATTGTCATGGTGATGGACTCTTTGATGAAGCTTTCCCATGCATTTTTCTGCAAAGGTTTGGCTTTCCCCATTCTCAAAATAAGCAGACATCACTATTCTTTCCTTCCAGAAGTCAACAGCAAAGTGCCCAGAACACCCCATTGCCAGACCTCTGGTCTGCTTTCACTGACTGGACCACCTCTGCCTCTTGGTAGCCATGCTGTCACTGGGCTTTGTATCAGGATCACAATGGTACAGCCAGGTTTTTATCTCCTGTCGGAATTCTTAAAGGAACACACTGGGATCTTGTTCCCAATTTAGAGTTTCCATTGGAAGTTCTGCTCGTTTCTTTTAACTGCTCCCTGGGCACAGCAGCTTCGGCACTCATTAAGCAGAAATTTTGTATCACTTAACATTTCTTTCAAATTTATTTGAAAGGCAGATAGATACAGTGAGATATGGGTTTACTTCTCAGTAGATACAGGTTTATTTCTTGAATGCCCACAACAGCTGGGCTGGGCCAAGAGCCCAGAACTCCACTGGGGTCTCACACATGGAGGCCAGGGAGTGCAAGCACTTGAGCCAACATCTGCACCTCTCAGGATGCATTAGCAGAAAGCTGGATCAGAAGCAGAGGAGCTGGCACTCCAATATGGGATGCAGGCATCCCAAGTGATGGCTTAACTCACTGTACCACAGCACCTACCCCCATGAGGCCTGCTGACACTGCGCCACACGTCTGCTCCCACTTGAATTTTTAATTAAAAGTGTGTAAGCTGAGCCAGCTGACTTATCTATCGTGTTGGCTGCTGTTTCTGTTGTTGTCAGAACTCTTCAATTAAACGCTTCATATAACCATACCTGTGGTAAAGTAGCAATCTTAGGCTAATAAATCGCTTTTTTAAAGTGCAGTGTGAATTAGGTATTTTATATTTTTATAACATCTTATATATATAATTTTTTATATATTTTATAAAATTTTTAGGTATTTTATCTTTTTAGGTGAGTACAATGTGTTGCTTTAAGTCTTTATCAAAAAAGGCAAAAATTATCATTTTAAACATTCACAACTCCATTTCTTTTTTTGTATCACATGATAAAAACAGCAAGTTTATTTTCATCTCAGACTCTGGCTGTATAAAGATAAAACTTAGGAACAAATGCTTTTATCATATGACTGTTTGGCCCATATTATTCCATATTGTAGGGAAACCAAGAGGTTCTATTAAAGGACTAGAAAAGTGGTTACATGAGAGAATTTGAAAATGAGCTTTGAAATGTTTCTTTTCAGTATTGTTTTTAAAAATCATTTATTCATTTTTATTTGAAAGACAGACAAAGAGATCTCCCACTTGCTGGTTCACTCCACAGAAATGCTTGCAACAGCTGGAGCTGGGCCAGTCAGGCTGAAGTTAGGAGCCGGAAGCCCAATCCGAGTTTCCTATGCAGGTGGCAGGGACCCGACCACCTGAGCCATCCCCTGCTGCCTCCCAGAGCGCACGTTAGCAGGAAGCCGAGGCAGGACTTGAATCCAAACACCCTGATATGGGATGTGAGCATCCCAAGCAGCATCTCCACTTCAATGCTTTGCCCACTCTTCTTTCCAATATTCTAGAGTAGGTCCTTGAACTGTTTCCAGCTCTCAAAACAATGATGCGCCTTTGCTGCTTTTTAACATTCTTTTATGTTTTGTCAGAAAAGCAGAAACTGGTATCTAAAAATAAATTTGCTTGCTTCTGAAAGTACTTTAAAATACTGTAGTACCTCGGCTGCCAAAGCAGAGTTACCTAAGACCTCACAGTACTTTAGCAACATTAACTGATTAATCCCCTAGGGAATAGAGTCAGGAAGCGAGAAACCACCCCTTGGGGTTTAGCTTCAGTATACCATTGCTCCCCCTGCCCTACTAATGTTCTGCACTTCCTTTGTGCTCAGTGATATCATAGGGTGCTAAGTCAGGCAGGGATCAGGACCTTATAATCTAACTACTTCTCCTGGGGGTTATTCTATTTAAAAAGGTGTCTAAGAAAAGACAAAGTTTAATGACACCAGATTATCACTGATGGTGAAAATCTTGGGCACTGCAGCAGCTGAATGGTAGATGTCTGATGAATGAAGCCTTTCACGAATTATTTCACGTGAGAGGTAATAGTCCACGCTTCAGGAGGCAGGTGTTACGGTACTGGTGAATGCAGTACTCAATGTAAAATGCTTTTGGGTTTAGGAATATGTAATATAGGAAAATAGAACATATAATAAATGATAGGGAATATTTTTAAATATTCATTTATTTGAAGGGCAGAGTTACAGAAAGGGAAAGAGAGAGAGAGAGAGACAGACAGACAGACAGACATTCCATCTGTTGGTTCACTCCCCAAGTGGCCACAACAGCTGGGGCTGGAGCATGGACCAGGCCAGAGACAAGAGCCAGGAACTTCATCCAGATCTCCGTGTGGTGGCAGAGGTCCAAGCACTTGGGCCATCTTCCACTGCTTTCCCAGGTGCATCAGAAGGGAGTTAGATCAGAAGTGGAGCAGCCAGGACTTGAACTCATATGACTTCACAGGTGGCAGCTGTCTGCTGTGCCACAACACTGGCCCCAAGAGAGGAAATTCTTTATAGGAACATACATAAATGCAGTGATTCTCAAATCTGAGTTTACAAAGAAGGACCTGGGCTGTTAAAAATGGAGATTCCAGGGCTGGCACTGTGGCACAGTGTGTAAAGCCTCTGCCTGTGATGCTGGCATCCCCTATGGGCACCAGTTCTAGTCCTGGCTGCTCTACTTCTGATCCAGCTCCATGTTAATGGCCTGGGGAAAACACATAGGACGGCCCAAGTGCTGGGGCCCCTGCACCCACATGGGATACCTGGAAGAAGCTCTTGGCTTTGGCTGATGCATCCATCTGGGGAGTGAACCAGTGGATGGAAGATCTCTCCCTCTCTGTCTCTTCCTCTCTCTGTATAACTTTGATTTTCAAATAAATAAATATTTTTATGAGTTTTTTTTTTAATTTATTTGAAAGGCAGAAATAAAGAGAGAGAAGGAGAGAGAGAGAAATCTTCCATCTGTTGGTTCACTCCCTAAATGGCCACATGGCCTGGGCTGGGCCAGGCAGAAACCAGGAGCCAGGAGCTTCTTCATGGATTTCCACATGGGTGCAGGGGCCCAAGTACTTGGGCCATCCTTGCTATTTTCCCAGGCCATTAACAGGGAGCTGGATCAGAAGTGGAGTAGCTGAGACTTGAACTGGTGCCCATATCAAATGTCAGGATGGCAGGTAGAGTCCTTCTATGTGACCTTCTATGTCGCAGCGCTGGCTCCAATAAATAAATCTAAAAAAAGAAAAAAAAAAAAAAAGGAGATTCCAAGGGGATAGGCATTTGGTAGAGTGGTTAAGAAGCCACTTGAGATGGCCTGCATCCCATATCAGAGTTCCTGGTTGTGAGTACTGACTCGGCTCTGAATTCTGGCTTCTGACTACTTCACACCTTGGGAAGCAGAGGTGATAGCTCAAGTAGTCGGGTCCCTGACAGCTACATGGGAGGTTTGGGTTTAGTTGCTGTTTCCTGGCTTTGGCCTGGCATGGTCCTGGCCATGATCACTTGGACTAGTGAGATGGCATTGGTACATGCAACCTTGATGGGATTGAATTGGAATCCCCTGGCACATTTCTAACTCCACCATTTGGGGCAAGTCCGATAATACATTATTTTTTAATGGAGATTCTCTAACTCTAATCCCCAGGGTTCCTATTGAATAGGGGTAGGTCTGGGAATAGGCATTTAAACAAACTTCCAGGTGATTCTTTTTTTTAATATTTATTTTATTTATTTGAAATACCAAGTTATAGAGAGAGGTAGAGCCAAAGAGAGAGAGAGAGGTCTTCCATCTGCTGGTTCAATCCCCAAATGACCACAACAGCCAGAGCTGTGCTGATCTGAAGCCAGGAGCCAGGAGCTTTTTCCGGGTCTCCCACACGGGTGCAGGGGCCCAAGGACTTGGGCCATCTTCTACTGCTTTCCCAGGCCATAGCAGAGAGCTGGATTGGAAGTGGAGCATCTGGTACTTAAGCCAGTGCACATCTGAGATGCCAGCGCTGCAGGTGGCAGCTTTACTCACTATGCCACAGTGCTGGCTCTCAAATTAAATTCGAAAATTTCTAAAGAATCACCTGGGCAGGGGGCGGTGCTGTGGCATAGCCAGAGCTGCAGGCCAGGGCTTTAACCCGCTGTTCCAATCCATGCTCCTGGCTTCCGGTTGGCTCAGCTCTGGCCATTGTGGCCATTTGTGGAGTGAACCAGTGGATGGAAGATCTCTCTGTTTCTCTGCCTCTGCCTCTCTGTAACTCTGCCTTTCAAATAAATAAATCTTTTTAAAAAATTATTTTGAGTCAGAGAGCGAGAGATAAAGAGCAAGAAAGAGAGTGCACACATCCATCTACTGGTTCACTTGCTTCCTTCTTCAGAAAAGCTAATAAATTTAAAAAATAAAAATGAAGACCACAAATTCTCAGATATGGAGGAAACTTTATTTATACATTGAAAAACCTACATCTTAAGAAGCTTTCTAAAAACATTCTTTTAATTGCAAAGCTCAAAAGGAAAAGATTGAAATGGGCAGTGAACAGCTTTTCAGTTCTGTACAAACATGGTCACAGTTAAACAATTTTTTAAGCTGCAAAAAAAGAGACCTCTTTAGACAGCAAGAGCTTTGTACTTAACTCTCATGATGGCATCAAAAGCCAAGAAAAGTAAACTAACATTCTGAAGAAGAAAACTGATGTTCCATGAGAGCCATCTCTAACCACTTCTCTCCATGCTACCTTTTTCTCCTAGGTATAACTCAACAGAGGATTTTTTTCTAAAAATGACTGTTATTACTATAAAAATCCTGAAAAGAAAAGTGATAAGGGCCCTTGTAACTTGTGTAAAAACCACAATCCTACATTTCAGAATGATATTATCTCCTCTTCATAGGAAACAGAAAGTGCCATAATGTTCTGGGATCAAATAATTTATATCATCACTCTGGAGCATGAAAACCCCAATACTGTGCAAATCTCAAGCTCGTTTCTATAAAAATCATTAATTCAAAGCATGAGAAAATGTGAATGTGATGACCTAAATGTCTTAGAGCTGCTATATCCACACGGGATTAAAAACTCTTAGTAAGACCATGGCTTTTTTATTGTTTTCAGAACAGAGCTTACTTTTCTGTGTTTTGCACAACACAAAAACGCCTTAAATTATGCGACGGTGCCACAGTCACCATCTCTCACCTTTTGATGCCCCCTACCTACTTCTGTACCTGCTAACCCCAAGAGCCCTATTTACTTACCAGTAATGTGGTCACTATTGTGAAGCACCTAAAAATCCACCCGAGGTGACATTCTAGGGGCTGGACAAAAATCACATAATTTCAGGCAGCATGAACTTAAATGTCACTTTCAATGGTAAAGAATGTTACAGGATCTGCTCCACTTTATAACCTTAGTATTGCTCTTTTTTTCTTCTTCATTTTTAAATTTCCAAAGAGCCTACTATGGCCCTACACAACTTGATCAAGAAATGCAGGAACTTAAAAAATTCTTTTTAGAACAATCCTAGTTTTCTGCCGGAGGGGAGGAGACTTGATTCATTTAGGCTGTTTGCAGCTCTCAGGTGGGATGGGAAAGAAATGAAGAACAACGTTCCATTCTGCACAAACAGCTATTTTGTTCTTTCATTGTCAAGGCTCCTGTATTGCACTAGGCTCTCCATGGGGGCAAAAAGCTTCTGGAAGGGGACTGACATTTTGTTAAACTTGTCCTCAGGTGGCAGGAAAGCGTACTGGCTTCAAGCTGCCAGAGAGGTAGTATGCGAGAAGTCACAGGCAGAGAGGAGAGAGGCTTCTCCCGCTCACGCCAAGGTCATGAACGCTTCAGACGTAAGCAAAGAAGCTGCCCACATACAACATGAAATATCCCCCACCCCTTTCAGATGAGGAAAATAAAACAAAGTATCTAAACATGACATTTTTACTTTAAAAATTACCAAATTTCATAAAAATATACATAGGAATTTACATAAGTATGAGGAAGTAGAAGATATTTGTCACGAAAAAAACTTATAACAAAATTAAATGAATACACTGGACACTCCTATACAAAGTTTTGTGTTGAGAAGATGTTCCATGCCTCTCTTTAATTCTACTTAGAAAAGCTTTTACAATTTGTTAAGGAGGATAATTCGTTTTGTTAGTAGCAACAGTCCATCAGTAGGCTACTGTTGACACTGATGAGAAAAACACCATTTACTGCTACAATTAAGGGGAATAATTTACACCTTAATTCGAACAGCATACTCAGTTCTGGAACTTAGAATCTTTGTTTCAGCTTTTGCTTCAAAACTAAAACACAGAACTAGCAGAACAATTAGGCTTAGTCAGCAAGAAAACGTCCATACAGCATTCATGTTTAGGTTTTATTTAACTATGTGGAAGTTTCTGCTTAATATCTCAAGAGGCAGTGCTTGTAGCATTACAAACTTAAAGTACTCCCATTAGGGTGGTTATGATCACATACTTTCCACTTCTGCTTTTATATTCATGGATTATCAAACTAGGTCTTTTATAAAAGGATGTTCATGATTCACTCCAGCAAATGAGCTACAAACTGTTACATACATGCATGGGTAATGTAAGATCATCCCAAAGCAAAGTTCCAAGACTCAGAGGCTTCAGCTGAGGTCATACAGGCCAAGTCGCACAGATTTCACACCACGCACAGATAATGGCATACCTTGTCCCTAGAAATACTTATGATTCATGGTGGAAAAGGCAAAACAGGTCTTCCTTAGCACATGGAATAACCCAGGGAGCCCACTTTCTGACTTAAAGACAAACAAATCAAAAAAACCAAACAACAAATAATGCCCTGAGTGCCAAAGAGTGAAACTGGTAACAAAGCAGACAAAAGACCGCACACTCTACTTTCAAGTCAATGGATAAGCACTGATACACGCGCTGAAAAAACAGCCAATTTCAAACGCATGATTCACTGCCAGGAACGGACACCCACTCCAGGGCAGGCTAGGTGTATTTCACAAGGACATTCAGACTCTGTCTAGTCCTGACCAGATCTGAGACGTCACTTGTCAGATGTCACAAAACTCAGGAGGGGACCCTAAAAGTTATTATATAAAGATAAGCCTATCCTTCTTCATTCTATTCTACATAACAAACATGGATGTTGCGTTTCCACATAATCTTAAAAGGACTCACAGAACAAGGCAGACTTGGCTGGTTTTTAAGATTACCTTTAAAAAGGAAACTGTAATCTTAAAAAGCCCAAAACAAAGGACTAAAGGTGGACAGAATGACAAAATGGAATTCTTCAACTTTTCTTCATTGCACAGGGAAATCCCCCTGAGGTAAGAATAGGAAAATTCCGTAAGCTGGAAAATATGTCTGACTTTAACTATATTTTCCTTTAAAACTCACATTTGAATACTGATATAGGTTTCACAAAATTAAAAATCACAAAACTTTTAACAAGCAACCTCAACTCTTATGGAACTCCTTACTCAACACTATGAACCCATGAATGATTCAAAAGTTTTCAACACTAATTTATAAGAGACATTTTAAAGCAATAAACATTTTTTAACTTGCTTAACATAAAAACTACCAGCAGGGCCAGCGCCGTGGCTCACTTGGTTAATCCTCCACCTGCGGTGCCGGCATCCCATATGGGCACCGGGTTCTAGTCCCGGTTGCTCCTCTTCCAGTCCAGCACTCTGCTGTGGCCCAGGAGGGCAGTGGAGGATGGCCCAAGTGCTTGGGCCCCTGCACCTGCCTGGGAGACCTGGAAGAAGCTCCTGGCTCCTGGCTTCGGATCAGTGCAGCGCGCCAGCAGTGGCAGCCATTTGGGGAGTGAACCAACACAGGGAAGACCTTTCTCTCTGTCTCTCTCTCTCACTGTCTATAACTCTACCTGTCAAAAACAAAAAAACAAAAAAACAAAAAAAACCAAAAAAAACTACCAGCAAACCTCCTGTCTTATTTTGTTAATAAAGCATGCATATTTACTCAAGCTTCACACTATACTTTCCTTTGCCATTTCTCATAAGCTGAATTTTTATTTTAAAAGCATTTTTAATAGCAACACCCTATTAGATTATTATGAGGCCAAGCCTATTTTCCAGTAGCCACATTTTTTTAATCCAACAAGGCTGACTTTGAAAAATCAGTTCACTTATTAACAAATGTAGATTTGTGATCTATTTTATTTTAAAAAGAAATAGGTTTTTAGTACAGAATTACAGACAACAGAGTACTTAGAAAAGGTCAAATTGATCAACATGAAAATAGACTTCACTGAAATATACTTACTTATAAAAACATATTGCCTTTGCCATGTGAAAATCTGGTGTTTAGTTCTCTAGACTTCTTTATTAGGGCTTTTTTCTGAGCTTCATCAAACCGATTAACCTTGAGATCCTTATCACGGTCAAATGGTATTCTTTCTTGTGACTTATTTTTATCTTCAGCAGCCTTATTCTTTAATTTTTTATGATGAATGTCCATAAGAGATTCTGATCTTTTTGATTCCTAGGGAGAGAAGAGCATACATGAGAACCTTAGCTTGGATAGATTATTAACAGAATCTGATCATGAGACAATAATGAGATGGGAAAAGTGCAGAGTTAAGCAGGGCTATTAAAGCCCAGCAGGTTTTCCCAAATCTAAGACAACATCTATGATATGAATGTGTTGTCAGAGGCAAATTCAAACCAATCACCATGAAGATATCTCCTATGGGCCACACAACAAAAAATAATAAGATAAAGGGAAGCAAATATTTATTCAATAACTACAATGAAAACCATGCTCTTTATGGTTGTTTAATTATTAAAAATTACAGTACAAGCTAAGATAATGTGTGTGAAAGGAAGAATGCAGGGCCAGTGCAGGGGATGTAGGCATGTTCTACAAACTAATAGAATTTGTGTTCCTTTCAGCTTTCTGTTCTTTCTCTTTTCCCTTAACTGCCTCCTTTTAAATCTTCTTAGCTATGGATGGTATTCACAGTTTCAGATACATCTAGTAAGACAAGGTCTGAGGAGAGGCAACTGATTTAATAATTTAAAATCCTTATAAACTCACTCTAGACTTCTGACTACTGACCAACAGAAAGGACAGAAAATGACTGCCCAAGATTTTAGGAGCTGAGAGGAAGATACATTAGATGCAGACAGTGCAGATCAGCAGCCTTCAACTTGGGGTATACATTCGTGGGGCAGCAGGGAATGGAATCCATGGACAATTTCAAGGTTGCTTATGATTATCAACTTCTTCATGTAACCTTTATAAAAACTGATTTGCCCTGCCTTTCTAAATTTTTATTTATTTAAAAAGCAGAGAGAGAGAGAGAGAGAGAGCGCGTGCGCTCTTATCTGCTGATTCCCTCTTCAAATGTGGGCAGGCCAAAGTCAAAAGCCCTCTTTGGCTGGGCAGGCCAAAGTCAAAAGCCAGCAACTCAATCCAGGTCTCCTGTGTGGGTGATGGGGACCTAATTAGTTGAGCCATCACCATTGCTTCGCAGGGTTTGCATTAGCAGGAAGCTGTTGGAGCCACGAGCTGGAGCTGGGATCAAACCCAGTTACTCAAATGTGGGATGTGGGTGTATAAATGAACCTCTATGTCAAATGCCTACCCATATGTATTTTTTAATGGATCATATTAGACATGGAATTTCTATGGCATTTAAGATTCCATGTGAAACATTTAATAGAGTAATACAATGCTATCAGTTACATCTGTGGAAGCTACTGAAACTTACAATATTTTTTTTACCAGTTAGGTTCTAGTCCAGGTACATCCATTAGATGTGGAACACACTGGACTGAGCTTCACCCTGGTAGTTTGGTATTAATAAAAGAAGGGATCCCAACACAGAGAAGTGGGGCAGGGTTAATTTTAGAATGGGAAACCTCCATGTAACATAAATACGATGATAAATGTATGGGTAAATGTATGTATAAATGTGTCACACAACAAAAATTTGATCTTTTAGCACCATTTCTCCACATTTTCTCCTCCCTTTTTCTGCATCCATATCTTTCCCTGCTAATGAATTAAGAACTCCCTAATGGAGTAGTAACAGTGAAGTTTGACAGGCTAACAAGAGTTAGAAGAGGAAAGGCCTTAAGAGAGAACTGAAAACAAAACAAAACAAAACAAAACAACAGATCAAGTTTGGAGCCGATGCGCGGCAAAGCGAGAAGGAATGGAGTTGTAAGGAACCATCACTTTATCTAAGTCTACTACTAGGAAACTTATTTAGCCTGATGACCAAAACTGTTTAAGAGTAACAAAGAGCAAACAAAAACGGAGAAATAAAGATGGCAGGTTTCAATGTAAACATTCTCTGTATTAGTAAATTAAACATCAAAAGACAGGAAAACATTAAACCACTACTATAATCAATTCAAACAAATTAGAGTTTAAATTTAATTATGATAAAAGAAAGGAACTGGGGCTGGCACTGTGGTGTACTGTATTAAATTTCCGCCTGCTGCACTGGCATCCCATATGGGTGGTGGTTCAAGTTCTGGTTCTCTCCTCTCTCTGCAACTCCGCTTTTGAAATAAATAAAAATAAGGATCTTTAAAAAGAAGAAAAAATAAATGAACTTTTGCATCAGTGGTTTCAGGTGTACTACTGTCAGTCTAATTTAGTATAATTTGCCCATTGTGACATACAAGAACATATTTGTGCTGAATTATTAAAAAATTATAAAAACACCCTGAAGTAGTCGACTCACTGAAAAATCCCAAGATGAAATTCAATTCTTATAGAGAGCAATTTATCAAATGATCGATTTGCTGAATTACTACATTTATTTATTTATTTATTTAATATTGTTATGAATCACAGAGCAACAGAGAAACGCAGAGACAAAGAGAGAAAACTTCCATCTGCTGGTTTACTTCCCAATTAGCCACAACAGCCAGAAACGCCATCCTGGTCTCCTAGGTACTTGTGCCGTCTTTACTGCCTTCCCAGGTGCATAGCAGGAAGCTGTATCAGAATCAGTGTACCTATGGGGTTCACGCCGTGGTGTAGCAGGTAAAGCTACCACCTGCAGTGCCAACATCCCATATAGGCACTAGTTTGAGTCCTGGCTGCTCCATTTCCAATCTAGCTCTCTGCTGTGGCCTGGGAAAGCAGTAGAAGATGGCCCAAATCCGTGGGCCCCTGCATCCTGGGAGACCCGGAGGAAGCTCCTGGCTCCTGGCTTCAGATCAGTGCAGCTCCGGCCATTGTGGCCATCTGGGGAGTGAACCAGTGGATGGAAGATATCTCTCTTTCTGCCTCTCTGTAACTCTGCCTTTCAAATAACTAAATAAATCTTAAAAAAAAATCAGAGTACCCAGTACTCAAACTGGTACTCCAATATGAGATATTGGCATTTTAAGTAGCAGCTGGACCTGATGTGTCACACTGCTGATTCCTGCCACACTTACTTGTAATTTTTTATTTACTTGAAAACTAGGCTGGGGTGGGGGGATTTAGGGTGGAGAGAGTGGCAGGGAAGAGAGATAGAGAGAGAGAAATAGCTTTTTTATCTGCTGGTTTATTCCCCAAATGCCTAAAACTGATAGGACTGCGCTAGGCCAAAGCCAGGAACTTGAAATTAAATCCAGTTTTCCCACGTGGTTTACAGACATCTAAGTACTTGAACCACCACTGCTGTCTCCCAGGGTGGGCATTAGCAGAAAGCTGGAACTGAAAGTAGGACCAGGACTTTCAACCCAAGCAGTCTGATATGGGATGCAAGCATCCTAAGAGATGCCTTAACCACTGTACCACACGCTTGCCTCTGACAGACACATTCACATTTTCTAACCATTTATAAAACACCGAGCAAGTCTGTTTTGAATGAGATGGCTTTCTAACAGCCTTTGAAAACTCATGTTAAGTTTCTAGTTGATTAATTTTTATTTTCATTTCATGGTAGTATGTTAAGACAGTATTCAGTTTATCAAAAGCTGATGACATGCCAAGTGAATACTGAACTGTTTATAAATTTAGAGTGGACCATATTTTTAAAGCATTTTTCTCTCATATTTAAATCTTTTCATCAAGTATTTCAAATCTGCTTGTAATTTAAAAACTTATGAACTGAGGATCTCTACGACTTAGTACCGCTCTTGTTTTTGATCAAATGCTACTTATATCTAGGAATTAGAGTTCTGATATATAACCAATTTAAAATACATACTTGAAAACACTATGTGAAATGCATGGAAGGATGTTATACAAATGGATACACACAATAAAGTTGAATATTTTTCAGGTCTGATGTATAGAAAATGCATGAGGTGAAAGGGCAGACATATAAAAGAAAAACAAGAAAAAGAGAGAAAAATGAGAACTCAGAATGTAGAAAAAATAAAAGGTCATGTACTTTATCTTTTTACTTACATTGTATGAAGATACTTGTTCAGCCAATCTCTTATCCCTTCCTGACAACACATGTTCTTCATCCTTCTTACTGAACGACTTCCTTGCTTCCTGTGCTTCCTGGAGAATAATCACAGATAACACATTACTGAATCATATAAATAATAAGATAAAATAAAAAAGAAATATTATTATTTTGACTTAGGTGAAGTCATGAAAGAGTAAATGAAGCCAGGCTTGTTGAATTCCTTCTGGTTAGAAATACTAATATACTTGATAATGGATCAGTTATTGTTCAAGCCAATGAGTTTCCTAAAAACAAGAAAACAAAGGGGCCTCATTGTGGCACAGTGGGTTAAGCTGCCACCTGCCTGTATTCCTGTCACAGTACAGGTTCAAGTCCCAGCTCCTTTGTTTCTGATCCAGCTCCCTGCCAATGCGTCTGGGAAGCACTGCATGATGGCCCCATACTGGGTCCCCTGCCATTGACATGACAGACCCAGATGGATTTCCTGGCTCCTGACTGCTGTGGCCTTTTGAGGAGTAGACCAGTGGATGGAAGATCTGTCTGTCTCTGTATCTTTCCCTCTGTCACTCTTTCAAATAAACAAATGAACCCTTACAAAAGAAAAAATTAAAGGGGGCAAAACTGATTCAATCAACAAGCTGGAAGAAACCATCTATTTATTGAATTCATGATGAGTTCCGATTAACAAAGACAAAATGTAGGAGTGAAAAATTTTTTTTTCAAAGATTTATTTATTGAAAGGCAGAGTGAGAGAGGAGGAGAGATGGAACCCAGAACTCCATGTCACCCAAGTGGGGGCCATCTTCTGTTGCCATCCCAGATGCATCAGTAGGGAGCTGGATGGGAAGCTCCGCCAGCACTCAAACCAGCACTGGGACAGGTGAAGCCAGTGTTGCAAACAGAGGCTTAGCCCAATATGCCACAATGCTGGCCTGAAAATAAGTCTTAAAAAGAAATTCTACATTATTTGTTTACAAAAGTAGTAAAAAAAGAGAGAGAGAGGGAGAGAAATAGAAGGTATATACACACACACACACACACACACACACACTCAAGAAATAAAATAAAATCTTGGGATGGAGCTGTGGCATAGTGAGTTAAGCTGCCACCTTCAGTGCTGGCATCCTGTACGGGTGCTGGTTTGAGTCCTGATTGCTCCTCTTCCGATCCAGCTCATCTTCTACTGCCTAGGAAAGCAGTAGAAGATGGCTCAAGTGCTTGGGCCCCTGCACCCACGTGGGAGACCTGGAAGAAGATCCTGGCTCCTGATCAGCATGGCTCTGGTTGCTGTGGACATTTGGTGAACCAGGTGATGGAAGACCTTTCTCTCTGTCTCTCCCTCTCTCTGTAACTCTACCTCTCAAATAAATAAATACATCTTAAAAAAATAGAACAGAGGATTAAAAATAAAACAAAAATAAATGTAGGCACAAATAAAAAGTCCATGTAAGCAAGGGAATTAACTGCCTTTTGAGACACAATCTTATAGGCTAAATATAAAAACTCTAATATAGTATTTTTATAAAAACATATCTAGAAAAGGATAGATAGACTTTTCCCCATTAGCCTTCTAAGGTATAGTGGCTCCCTCATATGTCACATCTTTTGTTGCCTCTTTGGTCTCCATGTGTTTTAGTTCATCTCACCCATCTTACTTTCAGATCTAAATTATCAGATCTCTTTTTAATCTTTAGCACAAAAGAGAACTTGTGATTTATCAAATACGCTAAAATGTGGAGACTGCAACACATTATCACATTTTAACAACGTTATCTACAATCAATTCTCCACCAAATGCAAGCTTCTGAAGGAGTTCTCTCATTTTTCCTTCAGTTGCAACACCAACACAATACCTGGCAGAGTAAGTATTCAGTTTATAGTTATAGGGTAGAAACAGAAATCTTGATAATTATAAGTACAGATGAACAAGATAGAGAGGAGGACAAACTAAGTGTGAATCTGTTTAAATCAGAATTGAAGAAACTATAATCAAAAAGAGACAAAAGATTTGAAGACTTATATAGGATACCTTATGGGAATTGAAACCTTTACATGGAATAAATTTATGAACTAGTGCTGGGGATACTGGTTCAGTTCCTAACATACAACTGAATACTTCTACTTGAAAACATTCAAGAGACCAATTTCTAAAATAATATATTTTATGCATATAGTTTTTCAGGTAATTTATTTAATGTATTCATGAAGGTGCTTCTTGCTTTTTGTTTATTTTAATTTATGTATTTGAAAGACAGACTGTGAGAGAGAAAGATGGATAGATATCCTCCATTTTCTGGTTCACTCCCCAAATGGCCACAATGGCTAAGGCTGGACCAGGCTAAAGCCAGGAACTCAGAACTCCATCTGGGTCTCCCACCTGGGTGGCAGGGGTCCAAGTACTTGAGTCATTATCTAGTGCTTTTCCAGGCACAATAGCAGGAATGCTGGTGTAGCAAGTGGCACCTTAGCCTGCTGTGTCATGACACTGGCCCTGCTTCTTGCCTGTCTTGACAGTAACATGTACTGAGTACAGCTGAGATATGGTTACTTAGAGAGATAGTCTCTACATATCACTTAATTTGTTAGGTTGTTTACATCTTTTCTTTTTCTCCAAGATTTTTTTTTTAGATTTACCTATTTATTTGAAAGGCAGAGTTACAGAGAGAGAGAGAAGGAGAGGCAGAGAAAGAGAAGGAGAGGCAGAGAGAGAGAGAGAGGTCTTCCATTTGAAGTTCACTCTCCAATTGGCCAGAACGGCCAGAGCTGAGCTGATCTGAAGCCAGGAGCCAGGAGCTTCTTCAGGGTTTCCCACACTGGTACAGAGACCCAAGGACTTGGGCCATTTTCAACTGCTTTCCCAGGCTATAGCAGAGAGCTGGACTGGAAGTGGAGCAGCCAGGACGCAAACTGGTGCCAATAGAGGATACTGGCACTGCAGGTGGTGGCTTTACCTGCTATGTCACAGCACCAGCCCCTCCCCAAGATATTTTAAGAGAAACACCTTCATGAAGACAGTGATGTGTATAAAGTTCAGAGAATTAGCCAATTGCTAGTGCTGTCATCCTAGAAAAGTCAATGTCATAGATTAGTTTCTCCCACTCTAAAACAGGCTCAATAAACCCATGTTTCAGAGTTTTCTTAAGGTTTAAATGCAGCAGTTCACTGGGAAACAGTAAGCAAGTGGTGTTACTTTCCTTCCCCATACCTTTCTTCAGGGGAAAATCTGTATTTTCTTCCCTTCAGAATCCTCATTTTAAAAAGTAGCATCCTTTAAATAGTTTTGCCTTATATCTTTTCAAAACTGAGCCAACCAACTAACCGACCAACCAATATAACGTCTCACCCTGGCTTTCCTTTCTCTGTCAGCTGGAGTATCTGTCCATATTGATCGATCTCCTGATTTGTCCTCAGCTCTTCTCTTAAAAGTCCGGGGCCCAAGACCAAAGTCTTTCATTTCTGGAGGAAGTTCAGTCATCCATGACTCTCTTGTAATTGGTTTAGATGAATCCTTTAGGAGAAATAAGAAGTTAAAAAGGTATACATACAGACACACACATACATATACATACAGATATACTTTGTATATTATAAAATATATGGAGTACATATATATATAATATAGTAAAAATGACTATCTTTCTCAATTGAAGCTTATAAGTTACTTAACAAGCTTTTCCCCCCCTTACTTAACAGACTTTAATGGAAAGGTCTGATGTTTTTGTTACATACACTTGTCATGTTACACTTTAATCCTTTATTCTTTTGATTTTTATGTTATCTTTTGTCACACAAACTTTTTAGTAGGCAATTTAAAAAATCCATTTATTTATTTACTTGAAAGGCAGAGTAAGACAGAGAGGGGGAAATACAGACAGAGAGAAAGACATCTTCCATTTGCTGGTTAATTCCCCAACTGGCTGCAACAGCCAGTGCTTGGCCAGGCTGAAGCCAGGAACCTCATGCAAGGTCTCCAATGTGGGTGTCAGGGCTCAAGCACTTGGCCATGTTCTGCTGCTTTCCCAGGTGTATTAGCAGGGAGCTGGATTAGGAATGGAGCAGCCAGGACTTGAACTGGTACTCTGATAATAGGATGCTGGCGTTGCAAAGGGAGACTTAACCTGCTGTGCTACAATGCTAATCCCTAGCAGGCAAATTCGACTATCTTTTCCTTTACAGTTTCTGGGTTCTAGCTCCTAAATTTATATACAGTTTCTAAACTTTAAAGTTTTAATTGATGTACTTTATCTCTGAAAGTGTCTTTAAAACTTACATCATCTCCTTTAGTCAATTTTTCTTTCATTCTCTGGGCCCTTTTTTCAAACTCTGTTGTTACGCTGTAGTTGACTGGTCCTTTTGCAGGCATTGGTCCAACAATATCCTCATTTTCACTGCTATCTGTTTCCTTTTAAAATAAGACATTATCTTAACCCAAAAGAAGAGCTATAGAAGACAGAAAATAACTCTAAATTACTCAAATTTAACTTAAACAGTTTACTCATAGACAATAAAACAAAACAGAGAACCCAAACAACACAGCCCATCACTGAACAATGAGGATACTTTCCTTGCCTTCCTAAAGTGCACAGTGCACAGAGGACAATCCCACAGCATGTGGACTGTCTCATCTCTCCTTCTTCTATGTCCATCACAGGCCTTAATAAATGATTTCACTTCTCTTCCTGATGGACACAGATGGGGCCCCCAGTTCTTCTCAACATAGTATTCTAGATTCTTAGTATCAATTAGTCAGAGATGATACAGTTCAAGCCATTTTTGTTCCTGATACATGTAAAGCTCTTTGGAACAAGTTGTGCATAAGGAAGGCATTCTTGGGAGTTCTCTCAGCCTTCATGATTCAGCTGAGTCCACTGAAATAGAAATGTTGTAGTAACTCACAAAACACCAGCCTGTATGAGTTAACTCAGTTCCACAGGTATACCTCACTGACAAAGATAGAACAGCATTGTAACAACTGACTTCAATTTGTTCTTATACAATCATTTTGATAAATGGTTTCCATAGATGATTCTATGTTAGATATTTATATATACTAGGGCTTAAAGGTATTTCTTGTCCTCCATGAAAAGATTTATGAAGATGAAAAACAACAACATGGTTGTCCTCCAGCTTTGACAGGCAGCTTCACTCTCTTCCATTTTTCAAAGTAATAGGATCAGGAGTTCATTTGTATTTTCTTTCATTTTCCCCACTAGTCACCAAAAGGTAACTTTCTATCTGAGCTTCTTTATCTGAACTCTAACAGCAATGCTATTTACTAAAATAATTAAGTAATTATATTTTAATCATATAGCTTGCTCTAAATCATATTCACACAATTAATAACCTGGATTTTGGTATAAAACACATCATTTGATCCTTGTAACAAAACTATGAAATGGCAGGATTCTTGTTGTCTCTTTGAGGAAACCTAGACTTAGAGGAGGACATATAAAAAATATAAATACACTGAGGTTCTAAAATCAGTATTTAAGGCCAGTAATTTTCCTACTTAGGTGACAGAAGCCCCTCTATTGTTTAATCTCAGCTGTTAGTGTTTTCACTTTTCAAGTGTTTATAGCTTATCTCTATATTAGTAAGCTCTTTGATGTCATAGGTGTTACCTTAAATGTTGTTTGTAACTCCCAATGTAAATATTTGCTGACATAAAGTGAGCAGACATAAAAGACATAGTGAACCTTTTTACTTCTATCTATTAAAAGACAATTTTATAAAAGTAGGATTTCAGCATGTCTTGATAGGATAATATCTGAAGCTTTTTGGAAATAAAGATCACTTAAGATGTCAGGAAACATAAACTAAATGAGACAATGGAAAAGCAGAGAGAAAATTATGCCCAACACAGAAACTTAAAACATCAAAGAAATCAGAATCATAAGCCCAAATCCAATCAATATAATAAACAATTTTGGTATTCTCATTAAGTTACTTTTTACGATTTTTTTAAGGGTACATTATTTTACCCAGAAACAGAATATAAATTATATACCTTATGGGACTCTAGTTTGGGTTGCAGAGTTAGACAGACCTAGTTGAAGGCTCTGTCACTGTACTAGTCATGTGACCCCAAGCATGTTTTCTAAGCCTTTTCTTGTCTTTTAGATGGGCATGCAACAACTCCTACCAATTATAACTCTACTGCCAAGAGAACCCTGTATTTTGTTCATTTTCTTTGGAGTCATGTCCTTCTTAGGAAAATGGAAATTTCTCTGACTCCTGGAAGGAAGTGTTGGTAATTTTAATCCAATCACTGGTCATTCTTCTTGTCCAACTGACTGTTTATGCATGAGTATGGTGTTGGGTAAACAAACATGAGGGGAGATCTACAGGAAACCTTCAGCGAAGATTTTTCTCTTTTTAAACAAGGGGTCTAGGAAAGGGACTACGCCCCTTCTGTGTCCAGACATTGCCACCTGCTTATGAATCTTAGATATTTGGTAGGCTTCCTGGTATGAAGCAGTCACAGATAATTTACATACCACAGATAGTAGAGCAGAGAGACGGAAAAAACTGGAGCCCTTGATGGGATCATTAGATTGCTGAATTAACCAACTGTGGAATGAGTTTACTTCTAGATATGTAAAACACATTTTCCATATTTTAAGAATATAGAATATATACCACCAAGGAAATTACACAAATAACCCATTTGTCAACTAAGTAGGTTAAGACGAAATTCCACTTTGAGCTGGCTTTTCTGTTATTTGTAGCTGACAGTATTCTACCTGATATACTACATTCACAAGTGTTATTTGGATTAGAGTAAATTTACGCTGGCGCTGTGCTTTGCAGTGTCTGGCTTGTGGTAGATGCTCAATTAGTGCTAACCATTAGTATTATTGTATATGCCTTAATTTGGAAGTATAATCTTGTGAATGAGACTAAGAGAAGCTCCTCTTTGAGAAACAGAATCTGAAAATCAAAATCTGAAAAAGGTTTTATTAAAGGGCATTTATAAAGCAAACAACTGAGAACCAAGGGTACCTTAATCAGCTATGCTACAGTGTAATTCCAGTCCCCCATCTCTCACATTTTGCTAAGAGAAGCTAAGGTACTACCTAGGCAATCATATAAATTACCCACTTGCTACATAGGTAGGTTAGGACAAAATTGTAAGTATGAACAAAGCTGACTTATGCTACGTCTTTGAAAAAGTTTTTCCCCAACTTTTTATTTTGAAAATATAAAAGCCAAGGAACAGCGATTTGATGGTTTTGAGTGCTACCAATTTGACTTAATCTCATGCAGACTTTAGCTGCTGTGTTGAGAAGAGGAAGGAGAGGGGGAAGGGCTATGTGAAACATGAGGACCAAAGAGGTGAAATATGGTCACTCAGGCCAGGGTGGGTGCAGAAGTGGCTGGATTCTGCATGACTTTTGAAGCCAGGAACAATACAATTTGTTGACAGATTCACTTCTGGGACTATGTGTCTGACACACTGCAGGTGCTCTAGAAATTTATTGACAGAATAAGTAAATGACTCTGCAGTTCATGACCTTGACCACTGTATTATATTTCCTTTCAGTGTAATGTGAATTCTCCGTGGAGAGCAACAGGAGTCTCTTGGTCAGATGAACTCATGTGCAGGAAGGTTCTATAGTGTAGCAGAACGAGCAGGCCATTAAAGTCATAAAACCAGGCCTCCAACATGGCTTTGCTAAACAAACATTATACAATGCTGGGTAAGTTATCCAATTTCTTTGCTGTTTTGAATCTGTAAAATGTAGATAATCTGTATTTCATGAGGCTGTGAAGAAGATAAAAGACCCACGTATGGCAAAAATGTATTACAAATTATAAAGTCCTCTACAATATCAGCAGTTAGGGAGAAAAACAGCTTTCATACCTTATCCCCCCAAAATCATTGGATCTTTTTGTAAAATCACTTATACATCCAGTGCATTTGTTACAACACAGGTACCAGAGCTGGATATCAGAGTTAACTATTAAAAAACCCCTCAGCTTTCTCTCCTTCAGGTAAAAATCCTTAAACTTCTCATCATGTTCTGGTTCTCTAACATTTTTAAGGCCTCCCTTCAAAGATAAGAAGCCTGAATAGGTAACACCCACTGCACCTTGTTATTTTTCTAAAAGAATCTCAAGTTTGTAACAACTTTTGATTTCATCTACTTATGGCACCAAGTTAAATTAATCTGACTAGAACCAAATCTTTATAAAGTTTTGAGTTTGTTACATCTTATTCTTTAAATTAAAACTTGCCAAACCTCAGAATTGAGATGTGATGAAACCGGTTTTCTTGGATCATGTCTGCCTTTGTCACTTTTCTGTGGAGATTTAATGAAACCAGGTGGCAATGCAGGACCTATTATGGGCCTGAAAAATAAAATGTACTTTTATCATTCCTCCTGGCTTTAAAAAACAGTTTCAGAATAAAAGTTCACAAAAGCAATAAAGCCATATAATAAAGTGAGAATTTTACTTAACATATTTTTAATAGTATTGCCTAGTATTTTTCCTTTTCTTTTTTAATTAAGATTTTATTTATTTAAAATGCAGAGTTATAAAGAGAGAGGGACAGACAGAGAGGGAGAGAAACACACACAGAGAGATGCTCCATCCACTGGTTCTTCTCTAAATGGCCCAGTCAGGAGCCCAGAGCCCAGAGCCCCACCTGGGTCTTCCACATAGATAGCAGAGGCCCAAGTACTCGGGCCATTCTCTGCTGCTTTCCCAGCCACATTAGCAGGGAGCTAGATAGGACGCAGGGCAGTCGGACTCAAACTGGTGCTCAGATGGGATGCCTGTAATGCAGGCGGCAGCTCAACTCACTGAGCCTCAATACCAGTTCCTGCCTAGTATTTTTCTAATAGGTATCTTTAAAAAAAAACAAACAATTTTTGCATTCTTTTTTTTTTCTTCAAAGGTTTAGTTATTTATTTGAAAGGCAGAGTTACAGAGAGGTAGAGGCAGAGAGAGAGATCTTCCATCCACTGGTTCACTCCCCAGATAGTCACAACAGCTGGAGCTGCACCAATCTGCAGCCAGGAGCCAGGAGCTTCTTCCAGGTCTTCCATAAGGGTGCAGGGGTCCAAGTACTTGGGCCATTTTCCTCTGCTTTCCCAGGTCAAAACAGAGAGCTGGATCCGAAATGGTGTAGTAGGGTCTCTAACTGGCACCCATTTGGGATGCCGGCACTGCAGGCGGCGGCTTTACCCACTACGTCACAGCGAAGCCCCTGCATTCTAACTCTCTACTTGTTAATCAACAATTAGGTACTAAATCAATAATCCCTAATTTTTGAGCCGGCGCCGTGGCTCAATAGGCTAATCCTCCACCTTGCGGCGCCGGCACACCGGGTTCTAGTCCCGGTTGGGGCGCCGGATTCTGTCCCGGTTGCCCCTCTTCCAGGCCAGCTCTCTGCTATGGCCAGGGAGTGCAGTGGAGGATGGCCCAGGTGCTTGGGCCCTGCACCCCATGGGAGACCAGGAAAAGCACCTGGCTCCTGGCTCCTGCCAGGATCAGCGCGGTGCGCCGGCTGCAGCGGCGGCCATTGGAGGGTGAACCAGCGGCAAAGGAAGACCTTTCTCTCTGTCTCTCTCTCTCACTGTCCACTCTGCCTGTCAAAAAAAAAAAAAAAAAAAAAAAAAAAAATCCCTAATTTTTGTGACACTGGCACATGCCCACTTCCGAAAAAGAACTATTTTTGCTTCTTAAATAATCATCAAAAAAAAAAAAGTCCCTATGAAGCACTAAAATCTGTGAAGGCCTTTTTCTATTTTTTCTTTGGCTTTCTTTCAGTTTTGTTTTCACTATCCTCTAAAAAACACCTTAGGGGCATTATAATTACAGTCAGAACTACTTAAGAAGGAACTGAGTTCTTCTAAGGATACAAGTACTGCACATACATACAACAGATGTCAGCAATCTTCTGTAAATATACCACGGTAGTATAAAATACTATACATATTTGGCCGGCGCCACGGCTCAATAGGCTAATCCTCCGCCTGTGGTGCTGGCACACCGGGTTCTAGTCCTGGTTGGGGTGCCGGATTCTGTCCCAGTTGCCCCTCTTCCAGTCCAGCTCTCTGCTATGGCCCGGGAGTGCAGTGGAGGATGGCCCATGTGCTTGGGCCCTGCACATGCACGGGAGACCAGGAGGAAGCACCTGGCTCCTGACTTCGGATCAGCGTGGTGTGCCGACCGCAGCGGCCATTGGAGGGTGAACCAACGGTAAAGGAAGGCCTTTCTCTCTGTCTCTCTCTCTCACTGTCCCCTCTGCCTGTCAAAAAAAAAAAACTATACATATTAGTGTATACTTATACACTAATCCAGGAACAATATAGAAGTATGCAGGTAGTTTACTGAGACCTACAGGAAGAGGAAAAGATGCTGTGCTAATAAGCACATTTCTACCCATGTACCTTTTTGTTTCTTTAAAATCACCCTGTATATAAAAAAAAAATCACCCTGTATAACTCATCCCACTTTTTGGTGAGCAAAATAATGCCCAAGGTTAACACAATGCGTAAGTTTCTGAGCTGGAGTTTGATCTCATGATGCCAAAGTTCACATGAGATGCTCTATTACCACATCCTGAGGGAACCGTCATCAGTTTAAAAGATGGAATCTCATGAATTCTCAGTCTTAGAAAGACGCAACCTTACTTTATTTGGGGCAGGGGGGGAGACATTTTCCAGTGTCTTACATTAATTCATCCTTGCTTTTGTACCAAGGTTTTTTCCATAGTTGTCACTGTGCCGATATTCCCAACCCAGGTGGCACTAAAGTCCTAACTTGAACTTTCCAGGTTGCACTGTGTTCAGTTAGAGCCTCACAGACAGGCTTCCTGACAGAGGAGAAGCAGTTCCAGCAGGCAGAAAGTCTGGGTTCTGATCGTGACCATTTAATCATCTCATCTTGGTATTTGAAACTTCTCTGAGAACAATTTTGTGTATGAAGGACAAGGAAGTTTGCCATTGTAGAAAGATCCAATTACTTCTCATTTATAAACTACAAGTACATCATGAGTTTTTTCACAGTACAATTTTTAGCAGATCTACAAATGTGATTACAGCTCAATTTTCTGGCTTTAGGGGACTTGCAGAGATAAAATTACTGGTACTGGGGACAGCACTGTGGTGTATGGGTAATGCTGCAACCTGCAGTGTTGGCATCCCAGATGGACATTGGTCCGAGTTCCAGCTGCTCCACTTGCAATCCAGCTACCTGCTAATGCACCTGGAAAAGCAGTGAAAGAAGGCCCAAGACCTTGAGCCCCTGTACCTACATGGGAGATCTAGATGAAAATGCTTGCTCCTGGCCGTTGCAGTCATTTGGAGAGTGAACCAGCAGATAGAAGATCGATCTCTCTCTCTCTGCCTCTGCCTCTCTGTAATTCTACCTTTCACATAAATAAATAAATCTTAAAAAAAAATTACTGGTACTGAAAATTTAAAATACAGCAAAAGAATATAACGAGGACACTCTGTGGTTGCAGAAAAGGTTTCTGACTCTGATATATGCTACCAGCTATTTACTTCACACGTATATTTTATTACCAAAATACAATTCACAAGAAAGATGTCACTGGGGCTGGTGTTGTGGTACAGTAGATGGGCACAGGCTCATGTCTTGGCTGCTCCACTTCCAATACAGCTCTTTGCAAATGCACCTTGGAAAGCAGCGGAAGATGGCCCAAGTACCTGGGCTCCTGTACCATGTGGGAGAGCCAGATGAAGCTCTTGGCTTCTGCCCGGCCTAGTCCTGGCCATTATGGCCATTTGAGAAGTGAACCAAAAGATGCGAGATTATCTCTCTCTCTGACTCTGCCTTTCAAATAAATAAATATAACTTGGAAAAAAAAAAGAAAAGAAAAGAAAAGAAAAAGATGTCACTATACACCTAAGTACAGGTAAGTATCCCTTACCTGGAATGTTTTGAACCAGAACTGTTTCAGATTTTGGAATATCTGCACATACCCAAGCAGATGCCTTGGAGATGACACCCATATTTAAACATGAAATTTGTTTTTCATTTCACATATACCTTATACACATAGCCTGAAGTTAATTTTATAAAACCTATTTAATAATTCTGTACAAGAAAAAAAAATTTGTGTACATATGAACTGTCAGACTTGTGGCTCTCAAAAAATTTCATGGGCTGGGTGTTTAGTCTATCAGTAAAGACGCCTACTGAGGCTGGTGCTGTGGCATAGCAGGTAAAGCTACTGCCTGCTGCCTGCAGTGCCAGCATTCCATATGGGCGCCAGTTGGAGTCCCGGCTGCACCACTTCCAATCCAGCTCTCTGCTATGGCCTGTGTGAAAGCAGTGGAAGATAGCCCAAGTCCTTGGGCCCCTGCACCTGTGTGGAGGCTTGGGAGAAGCTCCTGACTCCTGGCTTCAGATAGGTGCAGCTCTGGCCATTGTGGCCATTTAGGGATTGAACCAGTGGATGGAAGACCTCTCTCTCTCTCTTTGCCTCTGCCTCTCGCAAGTCTGCCTTTCATAAGTAAAGCAATCTTAAAAAAAAAAAAAAAAAAAGACTCCATACTGGAGTGCCTGGGTCCAATACCCATCTCATTCCCAACTCCAGCTTCCTGCTAATGTGGACCCTGGAAAACAGCAGTAATGGTTCAAGTGACTGAGTTCCTGTCACCCATGTGGGAGACCTAGACTGAGTTCTGCCATTAGGGAGCATTTGGAGAGTGAATCAGTGAATGAGAGTTTTTTTTTCTCCCTGAGTGTCTCAAAAATAAAATGTTTAGTTTTTCTGTATTTCTAAAAAAAATTTTTTATTTGAGGCGTTTTGGATTTTGGGATTAGAGATGCTCACCACACAATGCGCTTTCTTTTTAAAAATTTTATAATGTAATTTATTTGAAAGGCAGAGAGAGAGCAAATGAGATACAGAGCTCTCCTATCCACTGATTCACTCCCCAAATGCCTGCAAGAGCCTGGGCTTGGCAGGCCAAAGCCAGGAGCCAGGAATTCATTGTGGGTCTCCCACATGGTTGGCAAGGACCCACATACTTGAGCCATCATCTGCTGCCTCCCAGGATGCTAGCAGGAAGCTAGAATGGAGGGGAGAACTGGGACTCGAACCCAGGCACTCTGTTATGGGATGCAGCTTCATTGCTGCACCAAACACCTGGCCCTGTAATATGTTTTCTTAAAAGGAATATTATATTCCAGGGGTCAGCATACATTCTATAAAGAGCCAGATAATACATTAAAGAAACATTATTTATTTTTACTTTATTTGAAAGGCAGAGAGACAGAAAAAAAGAGGCAGATAGATGGAGATCTTCCATTCACTGGTTCATTCCCCAAATTTCCACAATGGCCAGGCTGAATCTGGGCCTGCCACTTGGCTGAAATGGACCCAAGGACTAGAACCATTTCTTGCCTCTGATGGTGTACATCATCAGGAAGCTGATTGGAAACTGAGGAACTGGGAATTGATCTAGGCACTCTAATATGGTATACAGGTGTCCCAGGTAGCATCTTAACTGCTGTGCCAAATGCCCACCCTCAGGTAGCAAATTTTAGATTTTGAGGGCCACATATGGGGTCCTGGAATATGTCTTTTTGTGCTTGAAACTACTCTTTAAAAACATAAAAATCATTCTTAGCTTTGGACCATACGAAAATAAGAAATAGACTGACTGCTATAACTAAAAGGACCAAAATTACATGGAAATCATATGCTGCCAAATGCAATAATACATTTTAAATATAAAATAAGCAGCAACTTTTTCTAGGTGCTCTTGCATACTGGGGAGGGGCTGGCATTTGGCCTAGCGGTTAAGATGCCAGTAGGATGGCCCCGTCTTATACTGGAGGGCCTGGGTTCAATTCCTGGTTCCAGCTTCCTGCTAATGTGGACATTGGAAGGCAGCAGTCATGGCTGAAGTAGCTGAGTTCCTGCCCCTCATGTAGGCTGAGTTCCTAGCTCCTGCCTTCAGCTTGCCAGGCTCTGTAGGCATTTGGGGAGTGAACCAGTGATGGTTCCAGTCTGTCTGTCTCTCTTTCCGCCTCTCAAAAATAAACAAACAAAAAGAGAAAAGCAGGGAAAGGGCTGATGTTCTAGCCAGCCTACCACAAAACACTTCTGTGAGATCAAGTAAGAGATGTGGAAGTGTTTGTAAACTATGGAAGGTGTCATAAACATGTAACCAATTATTTGTATTATAGGGAACATGTACTTTTCCTTAATAATGTTCTATTTTAAATGTTATATAAATACATAAGTTAAAAAAATTTTCAGACAACTCTAATGAGTCAATACATAGCAGTTGAAATATCTAGAAAAGACTGGCCTGAAATATCACATATTGTCACCTTGGAGGAGAATCATCCTGCTTTTTAAATCCGGGAGGAAGGGCTGGTCCAAAAAATCCATCGTCGTCGTCATCATCATCATCACCTTCATTTCTCCTCTGCTTTCTGAAAATACAATAGTACAAAATTTACCAGAATGTATGTCAAAATATTTTTCAGAGAGGGAGAATTTAATTTTGAATGGAAGCATTGACATTGGTTGTAGAAACACTTAAACAATATCCTAACTTGCAAAATTAATAAAAAAAGGATATCACAGCAGTTCTTAACTAATCTCATCCTGGAATTTATTTTTAGCCTAAATTGTTAGAAACTAGTTACTTCTTTACAGCAGTTATGTTTCACTATTCTACATCTTCTGTGGTATTAAACATTCCATGTACCAGAGTTTCCATTCTCTATTTGTTAGATGCTTCTCAGAGAAAACTTCATGACTTTGACTTTTAGTCTTATTTGAGGAAGTTGCTATTTTTCATATTCTATAAAATGTATCAGAAAACCCTGTCATCCAACTGCCTATTTACACAGCCTGAGCAGGGTAAAGCTAGATTAGAAGGAAAGTATTATAAACAAGACATATATACCACACATATAATTTTTAAAAAGAAACTTGATGATTTATCTAGAATAGTTAGTCAATAATACCTGAAGGAAAAAATCCCTTATAGAAAATTTTTATTGAAATACTAGTTGTCTCTACAGTTATCTACTAGAATAAACTTCATTGTAGAATGCACAGTTCATAAAATGTCACACAAAATGATTTCTTCCTTTGCTGTAAAAATGCAAATATGACATCCCCTTACTAGTTCTCTGTTCCAGCCAACTTCACTAGGTTTGAAGCTTGGCTTGTCATTTAAGTGAGTGACTGACCTTGCTGTTGGACCAGAGTCGTCATCTTCAGATTCTTGATTTCCTTCTTCATACAAAGAACTACTGTCCTCATCACTGTCTGATGAATCTGAACTACTGCTTCTGTAATCTGGGGGCAAAGCTGGTCCTGCAACTAAAGGAGATTGTTTGGGTATGTCACAAGCAGCCACAACTGTTTCACCAACTCCTCCTGGCTGAGATTTTCCACTTTCTTTTCTAAAACCCTCAGCACTTGGATATGTACCAATTATTACAGACTTCAGTCTCATTGGCTCCTGTTTTGTGTAGAGTGGTTTTGTCTTTCTAACTCTAAGAAGGCAACAACCATGCTTTAGACAATCTCCATGAGCGCCACACAACTTTCGTTAATACCTAATTTATGGGGCTGGCATTGTGGCATAGCAGGTAAAGCCACTGTCTGTGATGACTGCATCCCATTTGGGTACCAGTTCAAGTCTCGGCTGTTCCATTTCCAGGAAGGTGTCATAAACATGTAACTAATTATTTGTATAATAACGGCCTGCAAACAGTAGCAGCAGATGGCCCAAGTGCTTTGTGTCCCTTTGGCCTGGCTCAGCTCCAGCCATTGCAGCCATCTGGGGAGTGAACCAGCAGATGGAAGATCTCTCTTTCTCTAACTCTGACTTTCAAAATAAATAAATAAATCTTTAGGGAAAAAAACCTGAATTTTTGACAATTGCGAATAATTTCCCTGATAACAAATTTTTGCATTGGTTAGTACAGCTGGACAAACAAGTTCTTTTCCTTTTAGATAGCACATGCAAAATAATATTTGTATCATGGAGCTTACCAAATTTGCAGCTACATACTCTAATATATCGAGAATCACAATGATCATTTCTGGTTTCTTAGATCCATCACAAGATTCATCACGAGTGGATAAAGGCGCTGCCTGTGACACTAGCATCCCGTATGGGTAGCTTTCGCTTCTTGGCTGCTCCATTTCCAATCCAGCTCCCTGCCAATGATCTGGGAATAGCAGTGGAGGATGGCCCAAGTGCTTGGCCCCCTGCACTCACATGGGAGAACCCAGAAAAAGCTCCTAGCTCCTGAGTTTGACCTGGCCCAGCCCTGGCCATTGTGGTCATCTGGCAATTGTACTCATCCAGCAAATGGAATATTTTTCTCTTTCTTTCCTTTTCTCTGTAACTCTGAGTTTCAAATAAATACATGAATTTTTAAGATCCATCACTTAACTTTTTTTTTACTCATATTACCATATTGCAGTTTTCTTTTCAAGATGACTTTTCAAGCAGAAACAAAATTAGAATCACTCCAACTTTTGCCGCTTGCTAGTATAAATAAAGAGAAGACAGTGACACTGCACTGCACTGGCATCCTACGGAGAAGGTTAAGGGTCTTTCCACCTGTGAGAGTGACTTGCTCTTGCTTTATATATAAGCAAAATTGTAAATTACTACACTGCATCGCTGCGTGATGTCACACAGACACAACTTAGCTTTCCTGTGCTACATCCTTGTTTTGTAAGATGATTGTTGTGAACATCACGTCAGTACATAGATGCAAAGCGCCTAACAGCACCTGGCATGTAGTATCATTCAATAAATGCTAGTGTACCTACAAGAAGGAATTTCGATTTTAATTACAATAGGTAGTCACTGGAAGTTTTCAAGACAAGAGAGACGTGACTTGAATCACCTTTAAAAGAATGTGGGGCCAGTGCTGTGGCGCAGTGGGTTAACACCCTGGCCTGAAGCGCTGGCATCCTATATGGGCGCCGGTTCGAGACCTGGCTGCTCCACTTTCTGTCCAGCTCTCTGCTATGGCCCGGGAAAGCAGAGGAAGTTGGCCCAAGTCCTTGGCCCCTGCACCCACGAGGGAGACCAGAAAGAAGCTCCTGGCTCCTGGCTTCGGATCGGCGCAGCTCCAGCCGTTGTGGCCACCTGGGAGTGAACCATCAGATGGAAGACCTCTCTCTCTCTCTCTGCCTCTCCTCTCTCTGTGTAACTCTTTCAAATAAATAAATAAATCTTAAAAAAAAAAAAAAGAGTGTTAGCTTTGTACAATAAACAAGGGGGATCATTAGTAGGAGATATGCATTAGAAACTGGTAAGAGGGGCTGGTGCTGTAGCATAGTGGGTAAAACCGCCGTCTGCTGTGCTGGAATCCTGTATGGGCGCCAGTTCAAGTTCCCCTGTTCCACTTCCCATCCAGTTCTCTGCTATGGCCTGGGAAAACAGCAGAAAATGGCCCAACTCCTTGGGCACCTGCACCTGTGTGGGAGACCGAGAAGAAGCTCCTGCCCTTGGATTGGCCCAGCTCTGGTTGTTGTGGCCATTTGAAGAGTGAACCAGAGGATGAAGATCTCTCTCTTTCTCTCTCTCTGTTTGCCTCTGCCTCTCAGTAACTCTGCCTTTCAAAAAATAAAAAGAAAAGGAAACTGTAAGAAACATTTGATCTGCGGAGCTGGTGTTGCAGCAAAGCGGCCTTAGCTGCTACTTGTGATGCTATTTTGAGTACCAGCTGCTCCGCTTCCAATCCAGCTCCCTGCTAATGCACCTGGGAAGGCAACAGATGATTACCTAAGTATTTGGGTCTCTATGACCCATATGGGAAACCTGGATAGAGTTCCTTGCTCTTGGCTTTGGCCTAGCCTGTTGTGGGCATTTGAGGAGTCAACCAGTGGATGGAGGATACGTCCCACCCCAACACTCTGCCTTTCAAATAAATAAATACACTTTAGGAAAAAAAATAAATGGGAGTCAGTGTTGTGGCAAAATGGGTAAAGATGCTGCCTGCAATGCTGGCATACCATATAGGCACTGGTTGGAGTCTCGGCTGCTCCACTTCTGATTTAGCTTCATGCTAATGAGCTTGGGAAAGCAGTAGAAGATGGCTTAAATGCTTGGGTCCCTGCACCCATCCAGGAGACCCAGGAGAAGCTCCTGGCTCTTGGCTTCAGTTTGGTCCAGTCCTGACTGTTGCAGCCATTTGAGGAGTGAACCAGCGATGGAAGGTCTTGGTCTTTCTGTCTGTCTCTCTCTTTCTCTGTAACTCTGCCTTTCAAATAAATAACATAAATCTAAAAAAAAAAAAGAGGGGCCAGCACTGATGTGTAGCAGGTAAAGCCACTGCCTGCAGTGCCGACATCCCATGTGGGCTCCGGATTGAGTCCCAGTTGGTCCACTTCTTATCTAGCTCTCTGGTATGGCCTGGGAAAACAGTGGAAGATGGCCCAAGTCCTTGGACCCCTGCACCCACATGGGAGATCTGGAAGAAGCTCCTGGCTCCTGGCTTTGGATCGGCGCAGCTCCAGCTGTTGCAGCCATCTGGGAAGTGAAACAGAGGATGGAAGACCTCTCTGTCTCTACCTCTCTCTGTAACTCTGCTTTTCAAATAAATAAATAAATCTTAAAAAGAAAATGTATGTTGATTTGCAAAATATTTTGATAGAGGAGCAAAGAGAACTTCCTGATAGCTTGGATGTGAGAAGTTAGGGGGAAAAAAAAAGGAAACAGGATGTCTTAGGTTGACCACCTGATGGCCATTCTCTAAAATTCCTAGTCTTCCTAGGAAGGCAGGTTTAGGGGAAGAGTCAGGATTTTCATATCTGCTAGCACTGTGGCGTAGTCGGTTAAGCCTCCGCCTGTGGTGCCGGCATCCAAAATGGGCTCCAGTTTGAGTCCTGGCTACTCTATTTCCCATCCAGCTCCCTGCTAAGTCTGGGAAAGCAGTAGAAGATGGCCCTGTGCACCCACAGGGAGATCAGGATGAGACTCTTGGCTCCTGGTTTCAGATCAGCCCAACTCTGGCCATTGTGGACATTTGGGGAGTGAACCAGCAGATGGAAGAGCTTTCTCTCTGCCTCTCAAATAAATTTTAAAAATCTTAATAAAACAAATAAAAAAACATGTTCACATCTTAAGTTTAAGATGGCCATTAGAAATTTCAATGGTACTATCAGTGATATTTGGGTTCATCAGCATAACTTAGGGGAGAATTTAGGACTAATTTTGGGACCACTGGCCTATTTCTGAAAAAAACTTTCCTGCCTCTTTTGGTATATTAGTAGAGAATAGAGTCCAATACATAAAAATAGACTTAAAAATTCAAAATCCGGGGTTGGCACTGTAGCACAGCAGATAAAGCTGCCACCTGCAGTGCAGGCATCCTATATGGAACTGGTTCAAGTCCCAGCTGTTCCACTTCCGATCCAGCTCTCTGCTATGGCCTAGAAAAGCAGTGGAAGATGGCCCAAGTGCTTGGACCCCTGCACCTGTGAGGGAGACCCAGAAGAAGCTCCAGGCTTCTGGCTTTGGATTGGTGCAGCTCCAGCCATTGTGGCCATTTGGGGAGTGAACCAGCAGATAGAAGGTTGGTCTCTCTCTCTCTCCCTCCCTCCCTCTGCCTCTCTGTAACTCTGCCTTTCAAATAAATAAATCTTTTTAAAAAATAATGAAAATTCAAAATTTGTTTTCAAAAATTATTGGGGGCAGATGTGTTGGGCAGCAATTAAGTTACCTTGTGGGACACCTTCATCCCACATTGGAATGCCTGGCTCGAGTCCTGGCTCCACTCCTGATTCCAGCTTCCTGCTAATGTGCACCCTGGGAGGCAGCATGTGATGGCTCAAGTATCTGGGTCCCTGCCACCCATATAGGAGACCCAGACTGAGTTCCAAAGCCTCCTGGCTTTGGCCTGGTCCAGTCTGGGCTGTTGTTGGCATCTGGGGAATGAGCCAGTGGATGGAAGGTCTGTCATTCACTCACTGCCTTTCAAATTAAAAAAAATTTTGATGCATTTTTTGAATGTTCTATATATCATATAAATATATACACAAGATAAAATTGCCAGGCTTAGAGGGAGGAAGGTGGCAAGATGGTATTGGAAAGCACAATGGTTTGTGTGTACAACAGTGAGTATATGCAGAATAGGGACTTCCCACCTACTCGGCTGCAGGCCCAACAGGATGCTGTCAACCTAATAAGTCACTCAAAGACCAGCAGGAACCCTGAAGATGGTGGCTTCATCACACTGGCCAATGACAGTTCCTGAAATAAAAACTACTCAAACATCCACCAACAGTAAAATGTATAAATAAACTATACCCAGGAAGTGGCATTGTGGTACAGCAGGTTAAACTGCTGCTCTCCATTTCAGGTTCACGCCCAAGGCTGCTTATTTCCCATCAAGCTCCCTGCTAATGCACCTGGGAAGGCAGTGGAAGATGGCCCAAGTCCTTGGACCTCTGCCACCCATGTGAGAGACCTGGATGGAGTTCCTGGCTCCTGGTTTTGGCCTGGCCCTGCCTTGACCCTTGCAGTCATTTGGGGGAGTGAATCAACAGATGGAAGATCTCTTTCTCTCAGTTTCTCTCTTCTCTCTGTCACTCTTTCAAATAAGATAAATCTTAAACTGCACTCAATGGACAAGTTACTACATTTATCTACAGGACTACTGTATAGTAACGATAAAAAATAATCCGTAATCATTCTCATCAACATAGATAAATGTCACAAAATAATGTGATGCCAAAATATGAAGTCACCTACAGAAGACATCTTATTGTATTTTTCCATTTACACAAAGCTCAAAAGCATAAAAACTAATCTGGGAGGCTGCAAGTCAGGATGGTGACTATCCTTTGGTTTTTGGAGGGGAGGGATAGTAAGGTGGATAGTAACTAGAAGATGGCCCATGGGGAGCTTCTGTGATGTGATATAGGGATTTTGAAAGCTGTTGGTACTGACAAACTTCTTAAGGGTTCAGATAGAGAAATAAGGAGATGAAAAAATGCTGGCAACTATTTTAGGACCAACCATCTAGGATTGTTCCATGAAGGAAATGGAATTGTATGCAATGTATTTAAAATGACATACTATGTGCAAGATACTGTGCCTGATGAAGAGGTAGGTTCATGCAATAAATATTAGTCAAGGCTCTTTTTGATATGCCAGTAGGTTGGCATCGAACTCCTTCAATGAAAAGCATGACAGACAAATCACACACATACAGTGTTAAATGCCGGGGGCGGGGGTTGGGTGGGGGAGGATGAACACACAAAAGAAACAACCAGAGAGCAGATAAAGGAGTGCCTGAAGTAACTGTTGGCAGAATGATGGAAGCAAGTCAGCCTGGAAGTACCTATCTGGGACATGAGGGTGCTTATCTGCAACTCTTGCCGTGGTTTAAAATCAGGGACTGTGGTGGACCAGAAACAACGTACACACAGGAACCCAACCAGATAACTTGGTTAACTACACTTTTCTTCAACCTACTTGAATAGAACCTTCCTTGCTAATATAAAAGCCTGATTTTGAAGGATAAAGAAGGTCTTTATGAAATGATATAGGATGATGCAATGTATGATTAATAAATAGGAATATATAAGTGTAAAATAATGTAAATAATATAAAAATATGTAAGTGTAAAAAAAAAGAAAGCCTGATTCTTTAATGGTTATAACAGGAATGGGAATCTAGAAGGGAACTTCTGGTTCAAACAAGGTTCCTGGGTATCAAGGACGGATAATTAGATTCAGAAGCGGGAGGGTTGCTCTTCCGGCTTTACTCTTCTCTATCTGTAAAACCTGTTTCAGTCTACAAATCAGAACATTAAAGGAGGCAAATATGGACAGAGGAGTCTGAGAAACATTTGTCTGGTATACATGAAGAGCACATGTGTGGACAGCATGTCAATACTATTCAAATATATACAGTGTATTAAACTTGTAATGTGGGGCAGACACTGTGCAACAGCAGGTTAAAGCCACAGGCTGAAGCGCCAGCATCTATATGGGCGTTGGTTTAAGTCATGGGTGCTCCACTTCTGATTCAGCTCCCTGCTAATGCAAGTGGAAGATGGCCTAAGTCTTTCAGCCCCTGCACCCATGTGGGAAACCCAGATGAAGTTCCTAGCTCCTGGCTTTGGCCTGGGGTTGTAACCACTGGGGAGTGAACCAGCAGATGAAAAAATCTCTCTCCCTTTCACTCTGTAACTCTGCCTTTCAAACAAATAAATAAATCTTAAAAAAAAAAAAAAAAGATGCCTTTGTCTCACATTGTTGTCCTTGCATTCAACATCAGGCTCTGGACTCCAGCTTCCTGCTAATGCACATTTGATGGCTCCAATAGTTGGGTTCCTGGCACCCACATGAGAGACCTGGATTCCGTCCCCAATTCTGAGCTTCAGTATGGGCTAGTGCCAGCTGTTTGGGGCATCTGAGGAGTGAACTAGCATATGGGAAACTGCTCTCTCTGCCTTTCAAGAAAATTAAAAAAAAAAAAAACACAAAAACTTTCAGACACATAATGTAACCAAATAGGAAAATGCCCAAAAGTAAAGAGGAAGGCGTACCAACGTTTGAGAGTTTGGAAAGGTTTCTCTGAGATGACATTTAACTTGGGCCTTTAAGGACGGGCAAGAGATTGCCGGGTATGCCTGAAAAGTGCAACCGGGGACAGGCCAGGAGAAGCCTTGAGCTTGGAGCAACGGCGCAGAGTCTGGGAACTACAAGCGCACTGGGATGTGTCAGTTGTGATAACTGAATGAGAGGTTAGGCAGGCAGACCCGAGGCCAGGACCTTGCACATCAGAAAGCAATATGGCACGGAGGGCTGGAGACCCGCTCCGTTCTAATTCGGGCTCCATACTGACACTAGCTGTGGTTTGGGCACCTGCCTGGGCCTCGATGTCCCCATGTGTCATATGGGAATAATAGTATTTTCCTCATATAGTGGCTGGGAGGATTAAATGTCCGAATGTATATGAATTAACACAGCGCCCGGCTTTTATGAAGCGCCCTATTGGAATGCATCATCATTATAATGGTCACCAAGCCAAAGCTCGCGTTCTGAGGAGCCGCCAAGAATCTTGGGAGAAGAGTTAGCTGGGGTCGGGCCGCGCTCACTCACCACTCCTCCGCCCTCCAAGACCTCAGCTCTTTCCTCCAACGCCAGGGCCACTCCAGAAAAGGGGTCAGTCAGGCCTGGCGGGCAGGGAACACGTCTCCGCTTACCGGGGCTCGGGTCCCGCTCCTCGTCCTCCGCCGTCCCGCGGGCCTTGAAGCCGGGTGGTAGCGCCGGCCCGATCAGGTCCCTGGCCATCCGCGGTGGCCGACACTGGACACGCACACAAATCTGTCCGCCAACTTCCAATCTACCCCAAAAGCTGCCCTCGACCAGCCGCAAATGCTGGAAGTTTTTCCGGCTCCTATTAATGACGTAGAGGCCTGTGGTTGGCTGAGCCCCGTGGTTTGCGCTAACGGAAGTGACGCCTAAAGCTTGTGCCACAGTCGCATGCTGGGATTCCTAGCTGGAAGGTGGCATGGCTGAGGCAGCTAGGGAATTAGTGGCTCCTAACGAGTGGGTTCCAGCCTCGGAGGTGACGCCCGCACTGGGGCCCGTGAGCGGCACTGCTTCGCTGAGGAACAACTGGATGCTGTGGTCGGCGCTGACTCCACCGCCGCCTCCTTCGTCGTCGCCTCTCGCACCCGGGTCAGAGCCTTGCACCGAGGCGCAGCCTCCCATGCTGGCCCAGTCTCTCTCCGGGGCGCCGCCCCCCTTCGATGCTCAGATTCTTCCCGGAGCGCAGCCCCCTTTCGACGCCCAGTCCCCTTTTGATTCTCAGCCTCAGCGGAGCGGCGTGCCTTCCTGGAATTTCCAGGCGGCGACCTCATGGTACTGGGGACAGTCTCCTGAGGGTTTTCCTCGGCATCAGAATCCCCACAACCCTCCGGGTGAGTGGCTGTTCGGCGCGGTACCGCCCTTTCCCTTTCTCTCCCCCCACCCCTCTTCCTTCTCCCATTTCTCCCTTTCCTCTCTCCACTCTGCCCAGTGGTCTTGGAACTTGATCACTAATGCCTTAAAATGTGTCCGTCTGAAACGTTTTGCCATCTTGCAGCGACTTACTAACTTCTAACTGTGTGCTAGGAATTGGGGACTACAGCAGTGAACAAGATAGAAAACTTGTTTATGGCGTCTCTCGAAAGTGCTTTTTTGGAAGATAATGTGCATGCTTTGGGGTTAGATAAAGCAAAGAAAAATGGGAGGTAGTGCCGTTTGAAATGTCGCTGTGGCCATAAGGAAAGTGACATTTGAGGAAAGACCCCAGGGAAGTGAGGGAGCAGAGTCACGGCTACATCTGGGAGAACAGGCATACACGCAGCAGAAACTTCAAAGTATCAAAGCTTTGAGGCGGAAACGGTGCAGCAGAGTGGAAGTCCGCGTGGGCTGTGCAGAGGTACAGCTGTAGATGAGGGAAGAGGGTAGACCTGTTAGGTCTTTGTGGATCAGGGGCTTTTTGACTTTTCCCACGTTGTGAGATGGGTAATGCAAAGAACGACGGGATCTGATTTATCTTAAGAGGATTCATGGGCTGGAAGGGAGTCCAGTTCTCAAACTTGCTGTTGTCCAAGGGAGAGAGATTTGATACTTGAACCAGAGTGGAGCTGAGGGAGGATGAGAAGTAGTTGTTTTCTGGATAAACGTTAAAGGTAGGACGAAAAGGGTTTGTTGAAGCCGCTGACTGCAGTGCTGGCATCCCATATGGGTGCCCCGGTTCGAGACACGGCTGCTGCACTTCTGATCCAGCTCTCTGCTATGGCCTGGGAAAGCAGTGGAAGATGGCCCAAGTCCTTGGGCCCCTGCACCCTCGTAGGAGACCCTGAGGAAGCTCCTGGCTCCTGGCTCCCCATCGGCCCAGCTCCAGCCATGGGGCCCATTAGGGGAGTGAACCAGTGGATGGAAGACTTCTCTCTCTCTGCCTCTGCCTCTCTGTAACTCTGCCTTTCAAATAAATAAAATTTTTTTAAAGGAATTTGTTGAAACACAGGAAGTGGGATGTGAGATAGAGAGGAGACAAGAACAACTTTAAAGTTTTCTGCCAAACAGCTGGAAGGATGGAGTTGGTATTAATTGAAATAGAGAAGAATGTAAATGGAGGAGATTTGGAGGGAAGACCAGGAGTTGCATTGGGAATACATTCACGTCAACTAGAGCTGTTGAATAGGGTGTTAGCTGATAATCTGTACTCCCAGGGGAGATTTGTGGGTGGAGTTGTAAGTTTGGGTGTCATCTGTGGGTAGCTCATATGTAAAGCCTCAGATTGTTCATGTAAAGCCATTATCCAACTCTGTATAGGATTATGCTTACATTAAATCAAATCCAATCCTCTCTATAGGATTCAGTTTACATTAAATTAAAACCAAACAGTGTTTCCTGGGTGTCAGATGCTGGGAATATGAGTTTCACCAAGTCAGATGAGATTGGTTTTTAAGTAGAAATCACAAAACTGGGATTGGTCACAAAGGTGTATAAAAGGTATTTTCAGAGTGCAGAGAAAGTGGGGGAAAGCTTTTAGAGGAAGTGTCTTGGGAGATGTCTTGGATTTGGGAAAAGATACCTTTTTTTTTTTTTAAATTTATTTATTTATTTGCTCCCCAAATGGCCACAACAGCCAGAGCTGGGCTGATCCAAAGCCAGGAACCAGGAGCTTCCTTCGGTCTCCCATGCAGATATAGAGGCCCATGGACTTGGGCCATCCTCTAATGCTTTCCCAGGCCATATCAGAGAGCTGGATTGGAAGTGGAGTAGCCGAGACTCTAACTGGTACACATATAGGATCTTGGCACTGCTGGTGGCAGCTTTACCTGCTAAGCCACAGTGCTGACCCTGAGATAATTTTTAGATAGCAGCAAAGAGGTGTCAGTGCTAGGTAAGTTCTGAAGGTCACAGTGTTCTAGTGTGATTGAAGCAGAAAGCGTGGAAGATATGGGGGAGGGGCAGGGAAAGAAACTGTAACCTCATCAGGACTGTAGGAAGCCATTTGCAGATTTTTGGTGACATGACTCAAGAATTATTTTTGTGTGGTGTCAGACTGTTGGAAGAAAAAGTTTAAGTATGGGGAAAAAGATGTGGGAAGCTAGCACAGTAATCTAGGTGAAAGATCAGGTTTTTGAGTTGGGTCGTGGCAATAAGAATGAAAAGGATTTGAGAGGAGACATACATCATACATTTCTGTTTTCCTGGTATGATATTGATGCTCTAAAGAGCTGTATTAGACTTTTCTGGTTATGTTTCTAATATTTGAAATATCAGAAGGACTTTTATCAGATTAGATTGTCAGTATTCCTGCCTAAAGCATGTATGGACATATAATTTCTTTTTTTTTTTTAAGATTTTATTTATTTATTTGACAGGAAGAATTACAGACAGTGAGAGAGAGAGAGAGAGAGAGAGACAGAGAGAAAGGTCTTCCTTCCGTTGGTTCACCCCACAAATGGCCGTTATGGCCAGAACTATGCCGATCCGAAGCCAGGAGCCAGGTGCTTCCTCCTGGTCTCCCATGGGGTGCAGGGCCCAAGCACTTGGGCCATCCTCCACTGCCCTCCTGGGCCACAGCAGAGAGCTGGACTGGAAGAGGAGCAACCGGGACTAGAGCTGGCACCCATATGGGATGCCAGAGCCGCAGGTGAAGGATTAACCAAGTGAGCCACGGTGCCGGCCCCGGACATATAATTTCACCAGTATTTTTTTCATTTGGAAAATGCTTATTTTTAAACTAGCCCTAATCTCTGTTAGTTTGTTTGAATTTCTATTTTTCATAACTGTGTAGTTGTAAATGTTAGTGGATTTTTGTTTTTCAGGTAACCATTCTTACTTTCCACGGAAGCATGATGCAAAGTTCAGTGACTTCAACATTCCTCCCAATAGAAAACAGAAAAAAAAGGTATTTTAAAAATGTTCTTGATTGTGAAACTTTGGTCCCTGTCTCATGGTTTTGAATGTTTTGTTTCTTTCATAACTGTCTTACTGTTTTGTATCCATTGTGTATCTTATGAAATACAATAGAATGAGGTATGTATGCCTATGTTGAGACACTGGAATCTTTCTATAATAGAAGTTTTAAGTGTCTTAGCTGTAAATAAAAAATTCAAGTAAAATCTCTTTGAGAAATAAATGGAGTAATTGTAGAAAGACATTGAGTATATTTCATTTTGGCATATGCTATACTACATCTTAATTGCGTTACTAATTTGAAATGTCAGTTTATATTAGCTCTAATTACATTAAATTTTTTTTAGATCATGCCTGGCTTTTGCTACAATACTTACTAAAAATCAAAGAAACAGAAGCATCCTTTCTTTAGGAATATTTCTGTATGTAAATTACCTCTACAAGAGGGCTTTTGAAAATCAGTGGAAACTTCACATTATATTTTATTTCTATTTGTGAACTTTTTGAAGCCCCCTCATGTAAGAGGTATGGGAAAAATATCAAAGTATATATTATTAGAAGGATAGTTATGTTTTTATTATGGATTAAAGATTTTTTTTTCACCAAAAGCCTAATGCCTCTGTTTTTGTTTGCAGAAAAGAAAGGAGCCAGTTTTTCACTTTTTTTGTGATACCTGTGATCGTGGTTTTAAAAATCAAGAAAAGTACGACACACACATGTCTGAACACACAAAAGTAGGTTTTCTTTGTTGTCCCGAAATTTATGTAACAAAACAGCCTTAAAACTGTTTGGTAGAAACTCCAAGCTTTTCCTTAGAAGTTCAGTTTCCATAGAAACAGGATTTGATGACAAATGGGGTTGTGACTGTTGGGCTCAGAGTTTGGGGGTGGGGAACCCACTACTTCAGGAAGAAGTAAGATGGCGGCAGAGAAGGGGAATCTGACAGCTCTTCTATGTGTGCACCGCCACTGGTCAGAGGGCAGCGTTCCCTCCTGTTTCTTTGCATACCTTTGTGAGTTTTTCCCCTTTAAAGCGGCCCTTGGGGAGTGGGCATTGTGGTACGGTGGCTTAAGCGACTGCTTGGAACGGCCACGTCCCTTATCTGCCTGTTTTGAGTCCTGGATATTCCATGCTTCTGATCTAGCTTCTTGCTAGTTGCCTGGAAGGCAATAGATGATGTCCCTGCCATCCACATGGGAGACCTGGATGAAGTTGACTGACCTAGCCCTGGGCTGCTATGGACATTTGGGAAATGAACCAGTGGATGGAAGGTTGCTGTATCTCCATCTCCGTGTCACTGTGCCTTTCAGATAGATAAACAAATAAATACATTTAATTAATAGAAAGGAAACTTGCCCTTGACCATTTAACCACACCATGTCATTTATAATGGTTCTTACAATCTCTGAGGGTGGCCCATACTTTAATATATATATTTTTTAAAGATTTATTTCATTTATTTGAAAGACAGAGTTACAGAGAGGCAGAGAGAGAGAGGTCACTCCCCAGATGGCCACAACGGCTGGAGCTGCATCGATCCGAAGCCAGGAGTCAGGAGTTTCCCCTGGATCTCCCACATGGGCACAGGGGCCCAAGGACTTGGGGCATCCTCTACTGCTTTCCCAGGCCATAGCAGAGAGCTGGACTGGAAGAGGAGCAGCCAGGTTCAGAACCAGCGCCCACATGGGATGCCAGCACCTCAGACCAGGGCTTTAACCCACTGCGCCACAGCACCAGCCCCCTTTAAAAAATATTTAAGCCAGAATGTTTAAGAAGAAAAAAAAATTAACATAGTCCTTGGTTTGGAAGGGTTCTCTTTCAGTTTATAGCAGGGTTGAGGAACATCTGGTGCCTAGGCCTGCAAAATCATTTGATCTGGGCCTGCCACAGCAACTGCAAGTGGGACTCAAAATTCAATAAATCTTTTGCAGGCTAATTTTTTTAAGTCAATAATTTTGTGTGGCCTGAAAATAATGTTATAAATATCCAAATAAGCTCTTGGTAGAAAAATGGTTCCCCATCCTTGGTTTATAGGAATGACATTCAATTTAGGAATGGCATATAATTTAGGAATTATAAACATCTTACCGTATTGCTGATATCATGCTTTCACTCAAATGGAGAAGTGAAAAATTTGTTACTGTTCTGTGTACCTAGAGAGAGTCATTTCTCTTTAAATGTACCTCTGTTTGGAGTGATCTTTGCTACTGACCTGAGTATGCAGTGATAACATTACATAGGTGGGATAACTAGATAATATGGCCAGAATGTCTGTGTATTGGTAGTACGGTAAATTTAATTTGGAAAACATAACTCTTTCATTTTAAACTCTGTAGTGTCCGGAAGTAGATTGTTCTTTCAGTGCACATGAGAAGATTGTCCAGTTCCATTGGAAAAATGTAAGTTCTTGGATTTTATTTAACCCTGTCTTTTTTTCTGATGCATGCTTTTTATTTTATTAATCTATTAGCTTCATAATTCTTTTTTGAAATAGCCTAATAATAAGTTACATTCATGGAGTACTTTGTACTTCATAAGGGATCTTAACATCTTTTATTCAGTTTTGTCCTCACAAACAAGTGTGTGACATAAGTGAATATTGACCCATTTAACAGATTAAAAAAAGATTGAAAAATAATTTGCCCAAGGCTTCAGAATGGATTTTTGCACTTGAATTTTTTTACTTTAAATTCTGTTCTGGTTTTACTATGTTATGCCACTTCAGATTGTCATGTCTATTCATTTCTTTAGTTACTGCCCTCAACTTTGGTTAAGTCATTCATTTGAAATTTAGTATCAGTTGAGAAAATGGGTAACATATCTACTTTGTAGCCAAAATATGTTACTCCTTTTTCCCCTGTTGTCTTAGTTCATTTTGTGCTGCTAGAACAGAATACCTGAGAATGGACAAGTTATAAATAACTCGATTTATTTCTCACTGTTCGGAAGGCTGGAAAGTTCAAGATTGAGAGGCTCACATTTGGTGAGAGCCTTTTTTTTTTTTTTTTGTCATCCCATGGTGTAAGGTGGGAGGGGAAGACTGCTTGAGCAAGAGAAAAGGGGTGGAGGGCAACTCACCCTTTTTATCAGGAACCTACTCCTTTGATACTAGTGTTCAATCCCTGATGGCAGAACCTGGTGTTCTAATCTTCTCTTAAATGTCCCGTCTCGGCTCTGTTGCTTTGGGGATTGAGTTTCTAAGATGGGAACTTTACCAGAGGACTTATCAGTAACGCTGATCTAAAATACACGAGAAATTTTTGAAAGAAAATATCATAATAAGGATGGATAAAATCTGCTTACTTAGTTTTAAGATGATTTCTGCTAGTGAATTTAATGTTGGCTTCGGATTGTTGGAGGCATCCAGTGTGCTGCTTTTTCCCTCCAGATGCATGCTCCTGGAATGAAGAAGATCAAATTGGACACTCCCGAGGAGATTGCAAGGTGGAGGGAGGAAAGAAAAAGGTGGGTAACGGGCTCAGAACCAGTGATGTAACTTTCTTTCACTGTGTCAAGGCTGTGTACTTCAAAGTAACGAGCCACCTGGCCATAATGAATGATGTGAAGAGGGAAATTTGGTCTTGTATAACTTTTGTTGTCCCTCAGAATAGGTATATACTGACTTTGATAATATTATTATCTAATGATTTAAAAATAAAGATACAGTATTTATTGATGTAGTTAGATTCATTTAATTCCCTTACGTTGTTACCAGGGAGTAGGACTGTAAGCCATGTTATATGAGACTATTATTAAAGGTAGTTTTGGGAGACCTAATGGGAACTCTATTTAAGTAACAAATGTGTTACAATGAGACTGTATGCTGCTCTGAAGGGAGCTGCTACATGCCACCTATTAGATATTCAGTGGCCAAGGCAGAGGTGGGTGAATGAGTATTCCTATTTAAAAAAAAAGTGCAATATATTGCTATGTTTATTCATTTGGTTATTTTTTTCAACAGAAATTGTTGGATGATTGCTCCATGCTAGGCAGAGAGGGTACAGCCCTGAGCAAGATGGACATGTGCTGGCTTGTCTTTCATAATACAAAGACCAGAAACTCATTCTTAAAAGTAAAATTAAGAAATTTAAAACTTACTGTATGACTTCTAATTTTGCATTTACTAGGGAAGAAAGTTTAGTTGATGTCTAACTAGAATATACTTTTAAAATCCCAGTATAAAAAGCCTCAGGAAGGACTGGGTACTTCATCCTGAAGCAAAAGACTAAAGCAGAACTATTATAATGATGATATACACTCTGAAAGTCAAATGCTGTTTTTCTGTAATGAAAAGAAGGTGAGAGATCCAGGGGTGACAAAAAGAAAAATTATCTGTAAAGGTCAAGAAGGATTCTTAAAACTGTTGACCAGCAGGTTATATCTGTCCTGAGTTCAATTTAGTTTAAAGTTTTCAGTTGAAATTCACTGACATAGGCAGTAAAGTGCCAGGAGGCACTTTAGTGGTACTATTTTGTGAAAAAGTTAGTTACTGCCCCTGAAGGCTTTGGAGCTCATTCATAGAGAAACCAGGCAAAACATGAAGATTCAGAAAAACTGAGATGCGGCGCCGGCACACCGGGTTCTAGTCCCGGTTGGGGTGCCGGATTCTGTCCCGGTTGCCCCTCTTCCAGGCCAGCTCTCTGCTATGGCCAGGGAGTGCAGTGGAGGATGGCCCAGGTGCTTGGGCCCTGCACCCCATGGGAGACCAGGAAAAGCACCTGGATCCTGGCTCCTGCCATCGGATCAGCACGGTGCGCCGGCTGCAGCGGCGGCCATTGGAGGGTGAACCAACGGCAAAAGGAAGACCTTTCTCTCTCTGTCTCTCTCTCTCACTGTCCACTCTGCCTGTCAAAAAAAAAAAAAAAAAAAAAAAAAGAAAAACTGAGAACGATTTTTCAAAATGTTACACAAATATCAGGTATCAATACTGTGTGCAAAGGAAAGAGTTGGATGAAGGTGTAGGAACAGTCAGAGGAATTTAGTTTTTAAACATTTAGGATCCAGGCCGGTGCCACGGCTCAATAGGCTAATCCTCCGCCTGCGGCGCCAGCACACCGGGTTCTAGTCCCGGTCGGGGCGCCGGATTCTGTCCCGGTTGCCCCTCTTCCAGGCCAGCTTTCTGCTATGGCCCGGGAGTGCAGTGGAGGATGGCCCAGGTCCTTGGGCCCTGCACCCTCCTGGGAGACCAGGAGAAGCACCTGGATCCTGGCTTTGGATCAGCGTGGTGCTCCGGCCGCAGCGCGACGGCCGGGGCAGCCATTGGAGGGTGAACCAACGGCAAAAGGAAGACCTTTCTCTCTTTCTCTCTCTCTCTCTCACTGTCCACTCTGCCTGTCAAAAAAAAAAAAAAAAAAAAAAAAAAAAAAACCAAAAAAACAAAAAAAAACATGTAGGATCCATTCTGCCCAGATGGGCAAGGTGGATGTGGTAGAATTTCAAGAGCATCTTTAGTTAACAAATGAAAGAATCTAGGCAAGCTGGCGTAGGGTATTCCAGAATGCCCATTCACCTTTATCTCTTTTTCAAGACTTGTTTTAAAAGTCACCGGATTGTGGGCCCTCCCCCCATTTCCTTTATCTCAGTACTGTCAGAATGCCAGTCTGTAACAAAATAAGGAACTTGTACCAGAATGTAAATCTGTGTTATTTCCTTCACTGAGAAAGTCTTATTAAGAAAAAATACCAGCTGAAGTAAATACTCTAATTAGTGGACATATTTGATTTATACTTTGGTCTAAGTGTAGGATTGATGGCAATCCCTGAACCAAACTATCCTAAAGCATTATTACTACCTGTTTGGTGAATACATAGCTTATTTTTTTTTAAAGATTTATTTATTTATTTCAAAGTCACAGTTACACAAAGAGGAGAGGCAGAGAGAGAGAGAGAGAGGTGTCTTCCATCCGATGGTTCACTCCCCAGTTGGCAGCAACAGTCGGAGCTGCACTGATCAGGAGCCAGGAGCTTCTTCCCGGTCTCCCACATGGGTGCAGGGGTCCAAACACTTGGGCCATCTTCTACTGCTTTCCCGGGCCGTAGCAGAGAGCTGGACAGGAAGTGGGGCAGCTGGGTCTCGAACCAGTGCCCATATGGGATGCTGGCACTTCAGGCCAGGGCGTTAACCCACTGAGCCACAGCGCTGGCCCTGAATACATAGCTTATTATAGAACCACAGTAGCATTTGTCACATTACATTGTAGCTGGTCTTAGTCTTCGACATCTTTGATTCTGCTGTCCTCTGGACAGTGCTTGGAATTTAGTTATGTAAGGAATGAATATGTGTTGACTGGATTGCTGTTAGATGATGAAATATGGAAAGACTAAGTGTTGGCTTTGATAAGGGGGCATTAGCCAACTGCATGATCAAGCTAGAAGTCGGAGCTGGGACCATGAAGTCATTTGTCTTAGGGAAGAAGAAGCTGCTTGCCCTTGCTAGGAAGCTGTTTTAACAAATACAACTTTCTGTTTTTTGTTTTTTTTTTTTTTTGCTTGTGTCACCACAGATGTCTGGTTTTTTAAATTTTTTTTGTTATATTCTTGTTTAAAATTTGTTGGTTTTATCTTATTGCACAGAGGAATAAGCAACTAAGTATTCTGATACAGATGCCCAATACTTGGGTTTCAAAGAGCTGATGATGATGGTATTGAAGATATTGCGTTAGATGAGATGAACGTAACCTAGCATTAAGACACTTGATTCTCCCCCCACCCCAAACCTTAGCCTTGATTTTGATCAGTTGGAGGTTAGTGCAGTTCACTGATGCCAACCCCTTTTGCAAATGTTGAATTCTCTTGGGGGGAATGATAGTGGTTACTAGTCAGTTGTGAAGGAACTAAGAAACTAAATCAGTAAACTAAGCTGTTGAATTTCCCAAGGTTTGAGTTCACTTAAGGTAGTAGGGGAGGTCTCAAATGACTTTCTGATTTGCCAGATTTGGTTCTTTTGCCTCTAGTTTTTGTATAAGTTAATCATTCTTAAACTGGGAAATGTGGAACCTTATTAAGTTAATTGAAACCAATGACAATTCTGTCAGTGTGGAAGAGGAAGAGGACCACATCTACTTTGGAATGTTAGGATATTCCATGACAACAGGAGGAGGAGCTGAACTTGGAACTAATTAGGAAAATATAAAGGGAGGCTGGGATTAGTAGTCAGACAGGTTGATTGTTCAAGGAACTGTGAGTATAGGTATAAGATGATCGAAGATTTAAAAAAATGTCAGTTGAGACTGGCACTGTGGCACAGAGAGTTAATCCATGCTTATGGCTGCTCCACTTCCAATCCAGCTCCCTGCTAATGCCCCTGGGAAAATAGTGGAGGATGGCCAAAAACAAAGTCCTTGTGTTCCTGCATCCACGTGGGAGACCTGCAGGAAGCTCCTGGCTCCTGGCTTCAGCCTGGCTTAGCCCCTACCATTGCAACCATTTGGGAAGTGAACTGGTGGATGGAGCAGATCTCCCTCTCTCTTTCTCACTCTCTAACTCTAACTCCAACTCTGACTCTGACTCCTCTCTGACTGTGACTCTGACTCTGACTCTGCCTCCGCCTCCCCCCGCCCCCCAAAGTCAATTATGGGAGCAGAGAGAAGTAGGTAGGTGTAGAACATTTGTGAGATGAAAATTGGCAGTATTTGGTGAGGAGTTTAAGATACTTCTGGTTTTTCATGTGAGTATCTCTGAGAGATGGTGCCTCTGCTGCAATAGGGAGTATTGGTGGATGATGGGAGTTAGAGATATTGATTTCTCTGAGGAGATCCTGAGACATCTGGATTATGTTGAGTAGGCATTGAGGCTCAGAGATAGATTTGTTAATATGAAACTGAGTGTGGAAGAGATTGCCCACAAAGAGAGGGTTGAGTGAAAAGAAAAGGTAGCTTAACATTGAACCTTGCCGGCGCCGCGGCTCACTAGGCTAATCCTCTGCCTTGTGGCGCCGGCACACCGGGTTCTAGTCCCGGTCAGGGCTCCAGATTCTGTCCCGGTTGCCCCTCTTCCAGGCCAGCTCTCTGCTTTGGCCAGGGAGTGCAGTGGAGGATGGCTCAAGTGCTTGGGCCCTGCACCCGCATGGGAGACCAGGAGAAGCAGCTGGCTCCTGCCATCGGATCAGCGTGGTGCGCTGGCCGCAGTGCGCTGGCCGCGGCGGCCATTGGAGGGTGAACCAATGGCAAAAGGAAGACCTTTCTCTCTGTCTTTCTCTATCTCTCACCGTACACTCTGCCTGTCAAAAAAAAAAAAAAAAAAAAAAATTGAACCTTGAACATTTCCAATGTTTTAGGTACTAATAGTAACAGTTAACAAGACTGCCAAGTGGGATCCAGAATGGTAGAAGACTAAGATTTTGAAAGCCAATGGAGGGAAGAATTTTAAGGAAGTTATGGTTAGCAGGGGATATTGCTATGGAAAGATCAAATGAAACACGAACAAAAAGTGACAGATTTTGTGACACATGTAGAGCCTCCTTGAAGG